AATACTGTGGAAGTCCCTTTACTGTCTCTTAGAACAGCAAGACTCGCTTGTGTTTCAAGTTGTGTTCATTAGCCTATTAAAAGACAAGGACTGAAGACAAGCTGGCAGTGTCCACTTTATCATTTTGGTCCTAACTATGCTTATTTAATTAAAAGTCCCTCTATCTAAAAAAAAAAGAAAGAAAAGGATGAGATAATGCACAGTGCCTGGCACATAATAAACTCCCACTAAACATTAGCTTTTAAGTACAGGTTCCTGAGCTTGTCAGGCCAGGACCAAACCCCAGACTGTGGGGAATAATCAAGGTAAATGCTAGTCAGTGAGTTTAGCTTCCCAAGGGCTTGTCTATGGATCACCTTACATTTGAAACAAGTCATTAATACTTATATAGTCTCAGATACATATTTACTTATATAAATAATTTTTCCAAGTGAGTAAACGGTGGCTCTCACTCCAGGAACCACCTATTGTCCATTTGTTAAACTATCTCTTTCCCACTACACTACACTACACATCACTACATTAAAGAATGGGTATTTAGCCTAACCAGCATGGCTCAGTGGATTAAGCATAGTCCCATGGACTGAGAGGTCCAGGTTCAATTCCCTGTCAGGGAACATGCCCGGTTGCAGGCTCTATCCGCCCGGGAGTGCAGGAGGTGGCCAGACCATTGATATTTCTCTCTCTCGCTAAAAAAACTAATAGAAACATATTAAAAAAAACAAAAAAACGGGTATTTTGCAGTGAGCAAGAAATTGAAAACTCATTTTTTCTTATCTGTAATTATTATAAAGATGTGATATTTGCTTTCTTAGTAAGCTTTGAATGAACTGATAACTGCATATGTAATTATGAAGGTGGTGAGCAGCTCTGTTATTTGTAAATAATAAAATAAAACCACATGCAAGGCGGTTCACCAGTTATTACAGAGCAGGCATTACAGAACATGCCTGTAATTGTGCTTTTCACTTCCCAATGTTCATGACTGACTTATCTGTTCTCATGTTTCAAAAAACATCATACTACAGGAACAACAAATGCAGATATAAAGTTATTAAAGTCTATAAAATTGAATATAGCATGCATTTATTAAGCTCCCTTGGTATTGGCATTGTACCTGGGGAGTATCTAAAGGTAGTAAAACCAACATTTTGTGGCCTTTCAAAGTTCACAAAGATGCTTTCAGAAGATGTTTACATAACACAGTGACTGCAGGGCTGTAAAGAAAAAGAGATCGCCAACTTTTACATCCCTTTCCTTAACTCCTGGAAATCACCAGCGTTTGTGCAATGTCCTACGACAGTTCTCTATTGAAGCTTCTCATTATAGCTACTAATCCCCGAATTTTGGGTCAGAATCTTTCTTTTCCTTGATGAGGCTCCCAGGTTGGCTGAAATCTAAGCATGCGCAGAAGCATGCGCAGCAGAGCCGGGCGGGCTCGTGCTGACGCCTCCCTCACCCCGACAACGGAACACGGGAGCGTCAGGGAGCGTGCGCAAAGCCGGCCGGGGCGCCGGGGTGGTGGGTTACGCCTGGAGAGCGCATGGGCAAACTGTACGTCCGTTTGTCCGGAGCGGAGGGGTGAGTGGGCGCCATCTTCTTAGGCTCACTGAGGGCTCTCTCCCTCTTCTGGGGAGACTGCAGCGACGAGGAGAACCCCCCCGCCCCCGGCCTGCGTGTCCGACTCGGCAGCAGCGGTGTGTGTTTATTGCCAAGTGCGAAGTAGTTACCTTGGGAGCGTCGGGGGTGGGGAGGGGCCGGCCACCCAGACGGAAGAACCGGGAAAGGCGGGGCCGGCAGCCGGGCCAGCACCTAGCGTAGTTTCTGCCGTTAGGGCACAGGCTCTCCCGTCAGCGTCCATGTGCTGTTGTGTGTGCGCTTCCCAGTTTTCTTAAAAGTGAAGATCTCGAGGGATTTCATAGGTATTTTCCCCCCTTTGCTATGTTATCGTAGTCAGTGGTGGCCGGAAGCAGGGAAGCAGGCCTGGCTCGATAGGCTTGAGAGGGGCCAAAGTGTTACAGTTAGATTTGGGAGCAGTTCACCCTGGGACGAGTTATGGTGGAATATTTGCCCTTGGGGACCCCGCGTAACGGAAAGGCACGGAAAGGTTGGGCGGTCCAAGTTAATTTGAAAGCTGATTTTATATGAAGGTCTTGGCGACAGCATCGGATCGCACATAGCAACTTTGGCCTGGCGTGGAAAAAAGGAAGCTCTGACCCCTGGGAGCCTGGACAAAGGCTTTGGGCTAGAGAAGCTATGCCTTCGGCTGATCCCCATTTGAGGATTGATGGATGTTATGGGAAATCCCGTGCCTTGTGGATTCGTCTTCATTTACAGTGCCTATGGGGGACTATGGCTCTGTGCCTTCACGCCTTTGGTTTTCATTTTAACCATCTACATTTTAAGAGGATAAAAGGCTGGTCAAGAAAAATTGGGGCCTGGGGGTAGATTGTTTTCTGCAGAGGAAACTCATGCGTTTACAGTTTGTGCTTTATCGTAACTTTGGGTTTTAAGAAATTGTCGCATTTTTCGCTCTCTCACCTTGTTTGGAAAATGACTTGTTATTTGCTAAAGTCAAATGGATCAGAAATAATACCTACTTAAATTTAGCCTCCCTCGGGTTTCCCTCTCAGGCTTGATTAGAAGATGCACATTTTGTATTGTTTAGTGACAGTGGTAACCAAGGGGGATGAATTATTGGATTAAAAATGCAGCGAAATTTTATTTATTTCACTGATTGCCCTTAAATGAGCTTTTAAGGACCCATTTCCTTCGTAGATTAGGAGTTCTAATCGTACTCCGTCTTTAAATCAGCAGTTACTAAAAATACGTTTGTTGCATTTAGAAGTAGAAAAATTGAAGTGCTTTTGAGTATTTTGTGTTTTGCTTTTGTGTAATGTTCTAATAGAATTTCTGCAGAATTTGCTTAAGGAAATTACATGGCAACCACAGGAAAAGTGCTCATTTTGAGAACTGGTCTCTTATAGGTAGTCTTCTGTGTTATTGTAGAGAGATAAATGGTACATGACCCTAGTATCTCAAGGGCAAAATAGTTTAAGCATTAACTATGGCAGATTAAAACAAATATTTTCATATAGTCTGCTTGAATTGACTTCATGTGATTTGCACTCATGGAACTACTTATTTAAAATATTGTTTTTAAGTTAGGATAAATGACTAGAAATCTTTTGAATTTATAATTATTCCTTGAAACATCCCTACCTTTTCTTGTAGATTTATTTATGTTCTCAGGGTAAATCCCTTAAAAAAAAAAATTGGGAGGAACAAACGAGTGTACTTGCACTGCTTTATAAAACATTTTAAAAGTAAAAAAGGAGCTAAATCAGTTTGCATAAGAAGTCTTAGAACTGAATGGGGACAGTTATTCTAGAAGCCATTTATAGTTTTTGTTAAAATGCTGGTGTGGATGTTGGTTTATTGAAGAAACTAGGCCTGTACTTAATTTTTTTGTCACTGTGCAGATTTTTCTTTTAAACAAACTATTTTTTAGAGCAGTTTTTAAGGTTAACAGCAATATTGAGCACCAGGTACTGAGATCTTCCATATACCTACCCTGCTTTCACACGTACCATGCAAATATTTTAATAGTAAATCTCATTAATATTTTTAATGTCAATTTGACATTGATAATTAAGATATAGAATGTGCCAAGTAATTTCTTTTTTAGTTTAGTTTATAGTTTAAAAAGTTTAATCTGTGGACCGTTTTCAAAGGAAAATAAACTTTGCAGAATAAGTCTTCAGACCTCACTTTGGTGGTACTTAACTGTAAGTACCGAATTAAAGCAACATTTATTTACATATTAATGTATAATTATTAATATAGCAGGTCTTAAAAACTTACTTGGAAAGACTACATTAAATATTGTTAGTTTGGGTATCTCTGAAAGTATTAGATGTAAATTTCCTTGAAGAAACACTAAGTTGAGATTTTTCAGTAGTTAATACTGATAGTCCCCAAACATTCCAAATTAATGTATTTTTACTTTTCTATGTTGTTATTAGGGTTTCTTCATTTTAACTCAGGACACTTGTTTGAAATGGAATAAACTTATTTGCTTAAGAAGATTCTGTATCTGAACATTTTCTGTTTGGCTTGAGATGAATTTTAATAGTAATTCTTTTAGGAGTTTAAGGAGTGTTAGTTGAGTTTAACTATGGATTGATAGTAGTTAAGATTTTTGATTTTAGGGATATTTTAGTATTTGTCTTAATTATGTTTGGTTCCTTGTTTGGAAGTGCGAGCTGTATATGTAGAACTTAAAAGTGTATCCAAATGGTAGCCATTGTTTGGATTTTGCTTTAAACATTAGTTTTTGAATTTGAAATGTTAGTGTTTTGTTCATTTATTTTATCATTTTGAATGGTTGCTTTTTAAATTTGATTTAGTCTTATGTTTGAAAGAGGAGAATTGGAGGAGAGTTGGACATAATTAAATGGCTGGAAGAGATAGAAAGTTTTTGGGAATTTTTTGGTGTTTTTAAATTGTCATTTTACTTGTGGAACAGTTGTCTTTTTTAGTGGATGTAAAATTTATATATAGTGAAATGCACAGACCTTAAAGATAGAATTTATTTAGCCTTAATAAACTTATACACCCATGTAACCAACACTTCAATGAAAATATATAACATTTCCATCACCCCTTTCCTCGTACCATTCTTAGTCAAGTTTAGTTTATAGAAGTTTTTTATTTTTAAATAATTTGCAGATGTCTACTTGGAATTTGTACCTCCTTTTTGTTAAAGGATGATTCATTTCTTCTTGGAATAAAGAAGACCATCTTGTAATGCCCATAGTTGTTTCTTATATTGCTTCACTTTTTAATAGGTCATTCTGAAGTGAATATCTTAATCTGGCGTTGTTTAAGGTCAATTACAGGGTCCTGGGATTAATTATATTTCATTTTCTTTCCACAGTTAAGTTGCTTTTACAGAATTAACAGGTCTCCAAGAAATAAAAAAAAAAAAAAAGGTAAGATATTCAGAGCTTAAGGCTTTTCACAGAGGCTTGACAAAAAATTTAAAAGTAGAATAATACATCTTAGGTACCCATGCCTTCTGTATTTTATTTCTGGCCAGTGATGCACTAGTGGTAAGCAATTTATTATCATGAGCAGAAATTATATACTGACCATAGATGGCTTGAATAAATATGTAAATTTCTTTGTGGTAAAATTCTTTAATTCATAGAGTTCTCTCTCATGTGTTAGTAGAAGATATGTTTCTTAGTGAGTTTGAAAATAGTTTGGTCCTGTTGTGAAGCAGCACTTGGCAGACTTACAAAGAAGATTTGATTTTTTTGATGTTAAAACTATATAGGATAGGTGATATGAAAATGTATCTTCAAAGTAGTTGGTTTATTTGTATGTTTAGATAGGAGGAAGTTTTTTCTTTTTTTTTTTAAAGAATTAGATACAGTCAGTATTTTTGTGAACTTGTATTTTGTTTTCATTTATAAAAGATAGGAATCAAGTAATTATTAAGCTTAGTGTGGGATAAGGTACTTCAAAAATAAGACTTGCTATTATGTGTACCTTTTTGTCTGCAGGTCATTATTGCTGTGATTTGAGCTCAGCATGGCTGTAGTCATCCGTTTACTGGGGCTTCCTTTTATTGCTGGGCCTGTGGATATTCGTCACTTTTTCACGGGATTGACTATTCCTGATGGAGGAGTGCATATAATTGGAGGGGAAATTGGGGAGGCCTTTATTATTTTTGCAACAGATGAAGATGCAAGACGTGCCATAAGTCGTTCAGGAGGGTTTATCAAGGATTCATCTGTAGAGCTCTTTCTTAGCAGTAAGGCAGAAATGCAGAAGACTATAGAAATGAAAAGAACTGATCACATAGGAAGAGAGCGACCAGGATCTGGGGCATCAAGGGTTGGCTGCTTATCTAATTTTGTTGAGGGTATTAAAGAAGAAGCAAGTAATTCTGGATATGGCTCTCCGATTAATCAAGATGCTGGGTTTCATATTAATGGTACAGGACATGGTGATTTAAGGCCAAGAAAGACACGGCCATTGAAGGCAGAGAATCCTTACTTGTTTCTACGAGGTTTGCCTTACTTAGTAAATGAAGATGATGTACGTGTCTTTTTTTCTGGTTTGTGTGTAGATGGAGTAATTTTCTTAAAACATCATGATGGCCGAAATAATGGTGATGCTGTAGTAAAATTTGCTTCATGTATTGATGCTTCAGGAGGTCTTAAATGTCATAGAAGTTTTATGGGTTCCAGATTTATAGAAGTAATGCAAGGCTCAGAACAACAGTGGATTGAGTTTGGTGGTAGTGCAATTAAGGAGGGTGACATTCCTATGAGAATTGAAGAACATTCTCCACCAAGAGGAATAAATGATAGACATTTTCGAAAACGATCTCATTCAAAATCTCCCAGAAGAACACGTTCTCGTTCTCCTCTTGGATTTTATGTTCACTTAAAAAATCTGTCCCTAAGTATTAACAAAAGAGATTTAAGGAATTTCTTTAGAGATACTGATTTGACTAATGAACAGATTAGGTTTCTATATAAAGATGAAAGAAGAACAAGATATGCCTTTGTGATGTTCAAGACTCTGAAAGACTATAACACTGCTCTGGGTTTACATAAGACTGTTTTACAATATCGTCCAGTTCGTGTTGATCCAATTTCTAGAAAACAAATGCTGAAGTTCATTGAATGTTATGAAAAGAAAAGACCGGCATCAATAGAGAAAGAGAGGCTTGGACATATTTCACAAAAATATTCTCAAGAAGGCTACTCTGGCCAGAAACTCTGCATATATATAAGAAATTTTCCATTTGATGTTACAAAAGCTGAAGTGCAAAAGTTCTTTGCAGACTTTTCTCTTGCTGAGGATGACATTTATTTGCTTTATGATGACAAAGGAGTTGGTCTGGGAGAAGCATTGGTGAAATTCAAATCAGAAGAACAGGCCATGAAAGCAGAACGTCTAAATCGTCGAAGATTCTTGGGGACAGAGGTATTGTTAAGACTTATATCTGAGGCACAAATGCGGGAGTTTGATGTAAATTTTTCCTTGCTGTCCAGTAAGAGAAGGCAAGACCATTCACAGTCATGTGACAGAGATGATGCTTCCCATTCCTTTGACTCAAATGATCCACCAGTATATGCAGTGGGCCTTTCTGAAAACGTGAGGCATCCGCAGGAAGACTTGAGGCAACTGGACAATTTCAGGCATCCCCAGGGGACTTTCCAGCAGCCTGATAGATGCCCTCCAGAAGACTTGAGGCATTCCCCAGAGGACTTCAGGCACCCACGGGAGCAGCATTTCCGGAAGCCCCCTGAGGAGGACTTCAGATACCCTTGGGAGGATTTCAGATACCATCGGGAAGAGGACTTCAGTCACCCGAGGGAGGAGGACTGGAGGCGGCCACGTGAGGAGGATTTCAGGCAGCCTCCCAAGAGGGACTTTCGGCGATCCCCTGAGGAGGACTGGAGGTGGCCGCCTGAGGAGGACTGGAGGCGACCTCCGGAGGGAGAGTTCAGACGGCCACCTGGGGAGGATTGGAGACGGCCACCTGAGGAGGACTTCAGGCGGCTTCCCCAGGGGGAATGGAGGCGACGACCTAAGGAGGACTTCAGGCGGCCCCTTGAGGATTTCAGGCGACTTACGGAGGAAGACTTCAGGCGGCCCCCAGAGGAGGACTTCCGGCGTACTCCCGAGGAGCGTTTCAGGGGTTCTCCTGAGGAGGACTTGAGGCGGCTGCCCCAGGAGCACTTCCGCCGGCCGCCCCAGGAGCGCTTTCGGAGGCAACCTCAGGAGCATTTCCGACACCCCCTCCAGGAAGATTTCAGGCGCCCCCCAGATGAAGATTTCAGGCGCCTTCCGGATGAAGACTTCAGGAACGCTCCTGAAGAGGACTTCAGGAGCCCCCAGGAGGAAGATTTTAGATGCCCTTCCGATGAGGACTTCAGGCGGCTCCCGGAGGAAGAGCTCAGGGAAGCCCCGGAGGAGGACTCGCGACTTCTTGATGACTTTAGACAGCCTGGCGAGGAGTTTAGGAGCCCATCCGATTTTAGAAGTCATCGCCCTTTTGTGAATTTTGGTCGCCCAGAAGGTGGCAAATTTGATTTTGGAAAGCGTAATATGGGAAGTTTTCCTGAGGGGAGATTTATGCCTGATCCAAAACTAAATTGTAGTTCAGGTAGAATAACACCTATTAAGATCATGAATCTTCCATTTAAAGCTAATGTTAATGAAATACTGGACTTTTTCCATGGCTATAGAGTTATACCTGATTCAGTTACGATACAGTATAATGAGCAAGGATTACCTACTGGGGAAGCCATTGTTGCTATGATAAACTATAATGAAGCTATGGCTGCTATTAAAGATTTAAATGATAGGCCAGTTGGCCCGCGCAAGGTTCGGTTAATTTTGCTCTAGAGAGCACTTCTGAGTTCAGTTACCTCTCCCAGTGTTGATGCAGTAAATTCATTTATGTTTTTAAAAAAGTGTTTATTTTAATTATCTAATGAAAAGGAACATTTTAAATTTGACCTGAGACTAGAGCAAATGTAAATAGTACAGTGTAAGTCTAGTTTTCTTTTGCTTGGAAATTGTCGTTTACTTTTTCTAATTAAAATTATATGTTTTTTTTGTTTGTTTGTTGTTGTTTTTTGACAGTGGGGAAGAGGACTAATATCCTGAGTGCATTAATTTTTTTGTTGATGTCATGGGTAAACCTCAAGACCTGTATAAAGTAGAGCTGTATTTGGGGAAGATAAATTTTATATTCACTTTTGTTTGCATTCTGTAGTCCACAACTTTTACCCAACATGTATAAGAAAATGGTCAGTAAATGATTGTTCAGGTTTAGCATTTTCATTGCTGACTGCCTGCAGAATTAATGCCCTCTTCCTTGTCTGAGATATTACTGTGTTAAGCTTCCCATTAATTATAAGTACTTCAAAATGAACATACTGTGAACTTGAGATTTACTTATGTAAAAAGGTTAGGAGATGCTTAGTTTCCATGTTCATAACTTGAAAAATTTTATAAAAATAAAAAAAAATTGCAACTGAATAGACCAACCAATCAACTTGTATTTGTATAAAAGGTTAAAAGAATTACAGCTTCTTTTGTGAAGTTTTTCAACAGCTACATTAAACAATATCTATGATAGGAGTGACCAAATATTCCGTAATACTAGTATAGAGTGCTGTGTATAGTTTTGTGATTTCTGCAGCATCTCATCAATTAAACTAATAAGGTTAACTGAAAATACTTAAAAGACAAAACATAAAGTAATTGTAGGTCCAAGGAGACATTCAGGCTTATGCTGGGAACACCTGATAAGTGGATATAGTTTGTGTTTCTGGGAATAATTTTCTGATGATTCATAAAACGTCTAGTTATTCTTAGGTTCTCATTTTTTAATGTCAAAATTTTGTATCAAAATACTCAACTAAATATAATAAGACTTGTGAGATTGAATTTTGACTTATTTAATATTCAACAGTTAGTGTAGAAAGTTTGCAAATACTGGATTTGATTTTATTTTACCCATAATAGTGGCTAATAAATATTGGACACTTACTATGTGGTAGGAAGTATAAGTGCTTTACACGCATGATCTCAATATGGTAAGAACCATAGAGCATTATTTACATCTATTTCACAAATGAGCTAATGAAGTTTAGATAAGTTAAATAACTTAAATTATAGCTAGTAAATTATGGAGCCAGTTTCAACCACTTCAGTTTATTAACATTTTGCCTACTAACTTTGTTAAATGGTATTTTAAATTTTAGTAAGACCATGCTAAAAATATTTTCAAGTGTGAACCATATTTTCATCCATTGTTTTAAAAATAGTATTACAAATAAAATGAGAATTCTCAAACATTATTAATAAAAGACAAAGTAACTTTAAAATTTTTTATATATCCAGGGTATCTCTGGGATACTAACATCATATATTGTCTTCTAACTTAAAATTGTTCATTTTATCAAACTAGATTTGACTCTGGCCTTTTATAGCTACAGAGTTTTTTTTTTTTTTTAAATTCTGTGATCCAGAGATTTCCCACATTGAGCAAATAAGTATAAAATTTGAATTTATATACAGCATTGTCATTTAATAATATGATATTGCACAAGTGGAATATTTTGTCAGTACTTGGCTAATAGTACTATATGTATTTTGTATTAATCTTTGGTGCTTTAAAAAAGTCTAAGAGAAGCCAACCTAAGTTGGCTTTTATTAATAGTGAATATCCTGCTTACTAGAAGAATGAATAAACTGGTAAATTTGGTTTTTAAAAAGCACATCAGTGTGGCCCCTTAAACTACTAAGCTTATAAAGAGCTAGGATAATGATAAATTAATATCCAAACCAAGCACAATGAACGAAATAGGAAAGAATATTTTTAAGTGCTAAAAGATTATATATATAGATGGTTCATTTGATCAACATTCTTGAAGAATATATGGAAGTCAAAAATGCTTCTCAAATACATATCAATAAAATCTAAAATGAAACTTAAAAGTGAAATATCACTTAATGTGGAACTGCTGAAAGTAGGCCAGGGTGGTGGGATGGTGGTAGATAAGAGGCCAACAATAGTAAACATAAACTTTTCTTTTTTTTAATCCTCACGCAAGGATATGTTTATTGATTTTAGGGAGAGAGAGAGAAAGAAAGAGAGAAAAAGAGAGAAGTTGCCTCCCATAAGTGCCCCGATCTGGGATTGAACCTGTAACCTTTTTGGTGTATGGGATGATCCAACTAATTGAGCCACCAGCTGGGCATAAGCATAGGTTTTGTATTTTGATTATAAAATTAATGAATTGATATGAATAGTTAATTTCACTCTGTAGTATAGCAGTTTAATATATTTTGAAACTTTTTAAAATGAAAAGTTTATTATATGAAGCTGGCTTCTACTGGTTGGGAGCCATTTTTTTCACATCTCTTCCCAGCTCTGCCTTCATTGATATGTTACTAACTGAAATTGGCCATGGTAAGAGTATTACACCATGGAAATTGGCAAATGTGACAGATCAGGGTGCTTTCCATTCTAGAGAGTAAGCTTACCAGCACACCACCAATTTCAAACAAAAGAGAATAGTATACTAAATCCTCATATACCATCATCTAGCTTCAATAACTATCTCACAGCCAGTTTTGTTTACTTTTTATTTTTTTATTCTCACCTGAGGACATTTTTGCATTTATCTTGAGTTAGAGCGGGAGGGGGAGGGGGGAATAGAGAAACATTGATGTGAGAGAGACGCATGGAGTGGTTGCCACCCCAATGACCCCAACCAGGGCCGGGGGCAAACTGCAACTGAGGTACATACCCTTAGTGGGAACCAAACCCAGGTCTCTCTGGTCTGCGGGCCGACCGCTGAGCCAAGTCGGTCAGAGCTGTTTACTTTTTCTTACTCCTATATCAGATACATGGGCATATTGGTTCTTGAGTTTAATGTCATTGCCATTTTAATGATCTTAAACACTTTTGCCTAGAAAGTATGTAAAAAACAGATCATTTGGCCTGGCCAATGTGGCTTGGTGGTTGAACACCGATCCAGAGGTCACTGGTTCGATTCCCAGTCAGGGCACATGCCCAGGTTGTGGGCCCGATCCCCAGTGGGGACATGCAGGAGGCGGTCAATCGATGTTCTCTCTCATCAATGTTTCTCTCTCCCCCTCTCCCCTCTCCCTTCCTCACTAAAAACCAATAAAGAAAAAAAATATATATAGATCATGTGTAGAAAGTAAACTTAATCCTGTAACCAAGAGTTAGGTAAGAATCATATTAGGAGTGTACTTTTATAGCACTGAGAATAGGGTCAAGAGCAGTGGCTCTTGATCCATATTATTAAGTAGTGACCCTGTCACTTCCATGTTTGTATTAAATGTTAGCTATCATTGAGCTGCATTAGATACTATATGATATATTCATGATCTCTAAGTATATATGAATTAACTATCATTTAATTCCAATAACCCTAATAACCTTAAACCTATTTTGGAGATAAGAAATGGATGCCTAAAGGCTAAGTAACTGGTCAAGGTGTTTTGTTTTTTGTTTTTTAACAAGAAAGCTAAAAGGCTTTTACATTTTTAAAGGTGGTTACATTTTATATGATTGCTTTTTGTCCCTTGGCCCACTAATATAAAAAATATTTACCATCTAACCTTCAAAGGTTGCCAACTTATCTCTAGTCTAAAAGAGACTTAATTTTACATTGATGAAAGGTATTATCATCTATAGTATTCCTCTGTCCTTAGAATTTCCTTGAGGTAGTTGGAGCATACATTTTTTTTTTTTTTTTAATCCTCACCCGAGGACATTTTTCCATTTTTTGTTCAGATAGAGCGGGAGGGAGAGAGAGGGAGAGAGAAACATCGACGTGAAGGGACACATCGAGTGGCTGCCACTCGCATGACCAACCAAGGCCGGGGACAAACTGCAACCGAAGTACGTGCCCTTAGCGGGAACCGAACCCGGGTCTCTCCGGACCGCAGGCCGATGCTCTAACCGCTGAGCCAAACCGGCCAGGGCTGGAGCATACATTTTATATCAGAATTATTTGCTCAATATTTTATGTATCTGACACTGTTTTTACTTTACAAATAGGGCAACTGATGCTCAAGAGAAGTGAGTTGCCATTGTAAGCAGCAAAAGAAATACTATAACCCTGTTTTTTTCTCAAGTGCAACACCAAATTTAAATACTGGGAAATAAAAATGCAGTGATATCCTCAGTTTCATAAGAATATCAATTTATTTAGGATTTTAAAATGTTTTGAATATTTTTAAAGTACTGAAGTAATTTTGACACATAGAATTATTCTCAGGAAGCAGTGCTTCATTAAGAACAGAACCATGAATAATGGTCAAAAAAGCTTTCTCGAAAGTATTTTTGTTTTGAATAACTACTTTTTGTAGTTTTCCCAAGTGATTTTATAAATGTCATAATTTTTATATGCTTGATGGGGATCCATGAAATAAAGTACAATTTCCCATCCAAAGAAAGAAAAACATCAGACATTGAAAGGCTTTGATTAAATTGTTTTACATTTTCAGGAATAAGCATGACTACATACTCCATTTTATTAGATAGTAATTTGGTGACATTTTTTCATAGAATTTTTAATGATTTATGGTTTTCCATGATTTTTCTTAGGCAACATTCCACCAAATTACAGCTTTCCATAAGTTGTAGCACCATGACAACTTAATATGACAGTTTAAAAAAAAAAAAACAGAATCAGGCTGAATGTAGCTTTCTTTTTAAAGCTAAAATATGTGCTGTATATATAACCGTAAAACACTGATATCCTAAATTCCCATTAGTTTTAATCAAGAGTGATTATACTCTTGTTGAAAAGGAAATTTATGTATTAAATGAAGAAATTTCAGGTTGTAGTAAAAATGAAAAAGAAAAGGAAAAAAGACATCTTTTTGATTCAGGCTTTTACAGAATAAAATTTGTATTTAATCAGAATACTCAAGACCCTTCTCTGGTAATGAAAGCGTGGTGTTTTGACCTAAAAGAAGCAAATGGAATTGTTAAATATTTTCTTTTTTTGTCATCTATTTACTGTTGCAACCTTAACTAGGTATATATAGTGCATTAATATGAAATACTTTTTAAATAGTCTTTTTTTTTTTATCCTTACCCGAAGACATTTTTCCATTTTTTTGTTCAGATAGACTAGGAGGGAAAGAGAGGAAGAGAGAGAGAGAGAGAGAGAAAAACATCGACGTGAAAGTGACACATCAAGTGGCTGCCATCCACACAACCCAACCAGGCCAGGGACAAACTGCAGCCAAGGTATGTGCCCTTAGCGGGAACTGAACCCGGATCTCTCTGGACTGCAGGTCCATGCTCTATCCGCTGAGCCAAACCGGCCAGGGCCATAGTCTTTTTTTTAAAAAAATGAAACCTATACAAAAAGATCACATTATTGCTAGGCAGGATGTTGAAATGGCTGGTGTGTAATGTTTTTTAAAGCCTTCATTTTTGTCAGTATAAATTTCCTTTATTTTCCATTTCTAGTACAGTTTCATTTTGAAGTTTAATGTTTCAGGCCAGTATAAAGTTTTACAATTTAGTAATTTTGGATTCCAAGTCATGTAAGATAAAAATGGAAATGTGAAGTTTATTTAAGAAAATTAATTTTCTTCTTCTGTTACATCTAAGTCTTCATCCTCTTCATCATCATCTTCTGTTTGTTGATCCTTTCTTAGTCGACAGGTGGATACCTGTTAAAAAACACGTTTTTAAAAATAGTAACTTAAAAATATTTTTACATGCTTGGTGTCTTAAATATGCCCTTATAGAGAAGGGTACATAGAACAAATATTTCAGAAAAATGTCCGTAAGTAATTATTTTTAGTAATGAAAATTTCCTATGAATTACTGCATTTTAAGGTGGAAAATAGTCATAAGGTTTTCATTCATGTTATTTTTTAAATAAAAACGTGAAGTTAATCATTCCAGTTGGATACCAGTACACTTCAATAACATAAAATACTTTCAGAAAAAAGTACAGTCTCAGTATGTCATGAATGTCAAAAAAATTTTATCTTAAACATTTCTTGGGTTTCAAAACAGGTATTTGAATGAGAATGATCAAAGGGATAGCAAAAATAAGGATATTTCAACTAGGCAATTGAAATATTAAACTTGAAAAATAGTGTGATTTGAATGGAATGAGTTGATAAACTGAATTCATCACTTAGCTTTAAGTCCTGACTGTTATCACTTGGGTCATCTTGTTCCAAACCTTTTTGAGAGTGATTATACCTCCTAGGGGACATGTGGCAATGTCTGGTGACATTGTTGTCACAACTGGGGGTGTGTGAGTGTTACCAGTATCTTGTCAATAGTGACTAGTGATGCTGCTTAACATCTTTATAATGGATAGGGCAGTACTATCTCCTTCACCACCAAATTTTCTGGCCCCAAATCTGAGGTTGAGAAACCCTGGGATAATGTATTCTCTAAAGTGACATACCAATGTTAGCTAACTTAGGTAACATCAATAGCTCTAAGTAGTCAAACAAAACTTTATGTGTACTGTAATACTAAATTTATGTGTACAGTACTTAATGCTGGAATCATAAAAATCTAAGTTGTTTAAGGGGAGAAATGCATGAATATAAAGCAGTAAAAGTACGTAGAGGAGAGGCAGATGAAAACAGAAGGTACTGGGTCAAATTTACCTAAAAGTTTTATTTTGAAAATGTTTTGCTCAATTTTGAATTCTGAAGGCAAGATATGAAAAACACAGATCTCTAGATCAGGAATTGGCAAGCTATGGCTGAGTTTGTCTTTTTTTTTTTTTAGATAAGTTTTATTACAGCACAGCCATTTGATTTTTTAAATATATTGATTATGGCTGCTCTTAGTTGGGACAGAGGGACAGAGACACTATAGCCCACAAAATCTTTTATTTTGCTCTGTGGTCCCTTAGAGAAGGTTGTTGAGCTCTCCCTGTTCTATATACCAGGTAATTCAGGCTTTCTGGATATAGAAGAGAGAAGAAAATTGGCTCTTGAACTAAAGAGCTGTGCTTCTGAATCTATGATAATGTTCAGGAAAAGCCCTTTTTAGGTATAGTTTCCAATAAATCATGATAGTGGGGCTTAAATCCTAAGTAGTTTTACCTCAGAATCTGCTCTTATGCCAGAGAACAAACCTAGCTAGATTAGCATTCTCTAATCTAGAAAATGTACTTTGCTCTGAAATGTTCTGCTTTAGAGAGAATTATGTGTTATATCATACAAAATAACAGAAATAACAGAGCTGCACTTAGTGCAATCTGACATCATTTTACCTAAGAGGACAAGAAAGTTTAAATTATGAGTTCATATGACTTAAGGGGGAAGTATTTTTAGTACTGAACAATTCCAAAGGCAGCGGCTCAAATTCTTTTTTTTTATCCTCACCCGAGGACATTTTTCCATTTTTTGTTCAGGTAGAGTGGGAGGGAGAGAGGAACGGAGAGAGAGAGAGAAACATCGATGTGAAAGGAACACATCGAGTGGCTGCCACCCACACAACCAACCAGGGCCGGGGACAAACTGCAACCGAGGTACGCGCCCCTAGCGGGAACCGAACCTGGGTCTCTCAGGACCGCAGACTGACGCTCCAACCGCTGAGCCAAACTAGCCAGGGCTCAAATTCTTTTAAATTATGGTTTCTAGCTTACCTGTCCGGTTCCAGATACACACTTAGCTGACAGTGATCTCTGAAGAGGTGACTTTGAATTTGCTCTTACAATATCTAAACGAGATGAATAATCTGGTGGATACAGAGAATTTCGGAAAACCTGTTCAAATGATAAAACAACATTATAAAGTACATACTAAACAATGGAAATCTAGAAATCCATGTTAAATTCCTTATTTTTTATTTATATATATACATATATATATATTTATCCATTTATTTTTGTTACAGATGTTTCTCCTTTTTCCCTCATTGACACCCTCTTCCTGACCCCACGCCCCCCAGCATTGTCTGTGTCCATTGGTTATGCATACATGCATATAAGTTCTTTGGTTTATCTCTTCACTCTGCCCCCTGCCCCCCAGTCCCCTTCTTCTGAGGTTTGTCATTTTGTATCCTACCACTATGTCTCTGGTCCTATTTTGTTCATCAGCTTATTTTATTCATTATATTCCACAAATGAGCAGGGTCATGTGATAATGTGTCTTTCTCTGACTGGCTTATTTCGCTTAGCATAATACTGTCCAGATCCCTTCATGTCCTCTCAAAGGATGAGAGAGCACTTTTCTTTCTTACAGCTGAATAGTACTCCATTGTGTATATGTACCACATCTTTTTTATCCATTCATCTACTGATGGACACATGGGCTGTTTCCAGATGGTAGCAATTCTAAATAGTGCTGCTATGAACTTAGGGGTATATACATTCTGATTGGTGTTTCGGCTTCTTAGGATATATTCCTAGAAATGAGATCACCTTACTTTTTCAAAGCAACCTCCACCCTCCCTCCATTCCCCTATCAAAATTTCAGTTATTTATTGTAAATTTAAAACTTAAAAATTAAAAGACAAAAAATATTTTAAGTTGTAAAGATGAAGGCTAAAAAAATTCTATTTGAACCACATATGATGATGATGAGCCCTGAAACAATCACTTGAGAGATTTTGCTGGAGAAATGTGAAAGCTCTTACCCTCAAAGAATATGCAATCCAGTAGGAAGGCTGTAAGCCATACCTTTGATTTTTTTTTTTTTTTTTTTTTTTCTGTTCTGCCTGTCCTCAACTCTTTATCAATTTAACTTCACTGTAGTACATCACACAGAGTAAATTGGAGCCACTGTAATTGTTAGATTCCAATCTCCGTAGGATCCGGATTGCTATTACTTTATTTTTCCTTAAAACTATAGTTCCAAATTTTTTTTTTTTAAATTTTTCTTTATTGACTTTAGAGAGCAAGGAAAGGAGAGGGAAAGACAGAAAAACATCAGTGGGAGAGAACACTGATTGGCTGCCTCCTGCATGCCCCTCACTGGGGATTGGGCCCACAAGTTGCGCATGTGCCCTCACTGGAATCCAACCAGTGACTTCTTGGTGCATGGGGTCAACACTCAACCAGTGAGTCACACTGGCTGGGCTGGTTCCGAAATCTTAACCACTTTCTTTTATCTTCCCCCATTTCTCTAACATGTAGACTAACAGGTAAGATGTGAATTTCTTCAACTTCCCTCCCTTTTTCCTTAACCCTTCACCCCAACAAACAAAAGCTTTATTTCTCCACAAGTTCCCTTCCTCAGCAAACAAGCTCAAGACCCACCCCCACCTTTTACTTCAAGATAGGACTTCTCCTTAAGAAACTTCTCAAATATTCTTTCCATTCATTTGTCAATAAACCACAATTAGGCTTTCATCAGTCATCTTTTTGCCATCTTCACTGACTTTGTACTGAAACTTCCTTCCATGTGTGCCATTGCTACACTCTTTTCATGTGCCAGCTGGGCTGCCCTATTTCTTCACATCTCCTTTTTTATTGCTTGTGCCGTAAATATTTTTAAAGAGTTTCCCTTAGGCCACTTTTACGTTTTTGACACCTTTCTCTGAAAGATCTTCCCTATAGTATTTAATGGCTATCTTTCAACCAGTTTCCTATGGACTCTTCTAATAGCTGTGTTGATGATCCCCAACTACCTTCTGTTCTAGACCAGCACTGTCCACTAGAACTTTCTGAAATGATGGAAATGCTTACTGTTCTAGGCTGTCCAAAAAGGCCACATGTGGCTTCTGAGCCTTTGAAATGTGGTTCCTGTGAAATTAAAATTTTTAATTTTAATATTATTACTTATATATGTTTTTATTGATTTTTTTTTTTTTTTTTAAGAGAGGAAGGGAGAGAGAGCGAAACAGCAATCGGCCACCTCGCACATGCCCCTCACTGGGATTGAGTCCACAACCCAGGCATACGCCTGACTGGGAATCGAACCGGGACAATGCTTAATCCACTGAGCCACACTGGCTGGGCTTAATTTAATTTTCAGTAGCCACACAGGCCTACTGGCTTCTATACCTGTATCTCTAGATTCATCTTTACAATGAAAGACTTTACCATATATTTAGTAGATGGAGCTAGAAGCCTGGGTATTCTCACATAATTTCTTACCCGAGGTGCACTTTATTTTAATTTTTGACTACACATTTTTCTTTATGCCTTACTTAGAATTGTCTTACTAAAGACCAAATTATGATTCCTATACCAAAAAGGTTTGTGGCTCCTGACTACCCAGAGTCTAGATGTCTTAGGTGACATCCAAGGCTTAAAGTCACCCAAACCTACCTACCTTCACTTCTAGCCTATATACCTATATGCAGAACATGTTATACTCTGACTCTGCAATGCTGGTTTCTCATCTTGGAATTCCAGTAAACTTATCCTTCAAGAGCCAAGTCAGTAGTTTTGTTCATACCCTCAGAACAGCTTTTATATCACTGTTTTGTAATTACATATGTCTCCACAACTAGTTTTAAGTTCCTCTAAGCAAAAAGCCCTGTTTTATCTTTGCAAATTTTCCTAGCTTAAGATAGTGACCTGGTAAGTTAATAATGTTAACATGATTTACTATAATCCTGATGCTTCTGGGGAAAAAAGGAGAACCAAACTAGAGGATGTCTGTGCATTTCTTTAAACCTTAGAGAAGTACAAAACAAAAGGAATCAAGGGATGAAACTTAAGAGGCAAGACTTGTGTTTTAGGGCAATTCAGGCATGCTAATTAGCTTATTTAGCAGGTTACTGAGGACCCAATTGTATTTTGGTGCCAGACATGGAATTTGGCATCCTGGTGTGATATCAGTTATAAAAACTGATGACTTGCCTGGCCAGTGTGGCTCAGTGGTTGGTTGACCCATGCACCAAGACGTTGCCAGCTGGATTCCCGGTCAGGGCACAGGCCCAGGTTGTGGGCCCAATCCCCAGTTGGGGGTAGGCAGGAGGTAGCCAATTGATGTTCTCTTGTCAGTGTTTCTCTCTCCCCCTCTCCCTTTTCTCTCTAAAAATCAATAAAGAAAAAAAAATTAAAAAAAAAAAAAAACTGATGACTTATTAATCAATTGATATTTGGAAGGGATATATTTTTGTTAGAACATTTTTAAAAAATTTCTAGCAAAATAAAGTAAAAAGTAGGTAGTAGAAGACAATATACACCCTTGGGATAAAAATTTAAGCTAGTTAAATATTAAAATTAATCTCTTACTAAAAAACAACAGATTTATTGGCAATAATGCATTTTCCAATATGGTCCAAGATCTCTTCTAGGAGTGAGTCTCCAGATCTGAAGTGACTACACAGAGAAAAGGGGCCTGACAGTACTTTTTATGTGAGGAACAAATAAGGTAAGAAGATGTTTTGTGATAGAGCTGGATGCCTAACTGAAAAATTAGGTGCTGCCAGAATAAGCCTTGGTAGTTCTCATAAAGCATGGACTATCTAAGAAGACTATCAAGTAATTTCTCTGTCCCTTTCTGCATATTTTCTCTACTTGCTTAAAAAAAAAAAAAAAAGCCTTGCATTTAAAGGATTCTTCCTCTTCTTGGTACCTGTTGGATATAATTTACTTCCCCTTACCCTACAACTCTCCCAGAGTGTTGTCCTCTCTTCTATTATGGCATAATAGTGATAGTTTATGCCTGTAATTCATTATGCCTCAGAACCTTTGTATATCTATCTGTACCCTCTGCTTGAAAGTTGTTGCCAGGCATTCTCCTACTCATTTCTCAAGCTTCTAATTAAATCATTCTTTTGATACTCCAGAATATTTAGAGTCCTCCATCACATCACACTCATAGCACACTATATATTTTCTCTGAGACTGATTGCATTATATATCTTAAACTAGTTACACAGTGTATTTTTTTACTGTCTGAACTCCATGGTAGATTTTAAATTTTTTTCTTTATTGATTTGAGAGAGAGAGGAAGGGAGAGAGAGAAAGAGACATCAATGAGAGAGAACATCGATTGGCCACCTTCTGCATGCCCCCCACTGGGGATTTGGCCCACAACTTGGGCATGTGCCCTGACCGGGAATCAAACTGGCAACGACCTCTTGGTGCATGGGTCGATGCTCAACCACTGAGTCAGACCGGCCGGGCTCCATGGTAGATAATTTTAAGTTTCTGCTTTGACAAGAGGACCATTTCCAACTTATAATGCTAAATCCTTAGCACTTAGAATGGTACCTGGCATATAACAGGTGCTCAAGAAATAGTTGTTGAATGAACACTGTATGAGGTGAGTACTATAAAGTATATTCATTCTAGAGATGAGGATGCCGAAGTGTGAAGTTAACTCGTTCAATGTTTTCCCATTAGAGAGTGGGGAAGTATTGCATCAAAAATGCATCTACCATACAGCCCCGAGATCTTTAGTTTTTTTATGAATCTCTCCCACAAGCTCTACCTATCTAGTTGATTAAAAATAGTGGTAACAGCCCTGGCCAGTTTGACTCAGCAGTTAGAGTGTTGGCTCGTGGTCCAGAGAGACCTGGGTTCGGTTCCCGCTGAGGACACGTACCTCAGTTGCAGTTTGTCCCTGGCCCCGGTTGGGGTTGTGCGGGAGGCAGCCATTCGATGTGTCCCTTTCACTTCGATGTTTCTTTCTCTTTCTCTTTCTCTTTCTCTTTCTCTTTCTCTTTCTCTTTCTCTCTCCCTCCCTCCCACTCTATCTGAACAAAAATGGAAAAATGTCCTCGGATGGAGTTAAAAAAAAATAGTGGTGAGAGAAGTTGTAAAAGGAGGTGGTGTGACAAAAAAAGATACCTTAAGACCTCTGGAATGAGGAAGAAAATCTCAGGGATCCCAGCTATGTTACTAGCTTTGGTAAGTTTCTTTACCTCAACATGCCTAAGTTTTCTCATCCATAGAAAGGACAATAAGTACTTTTATCCAAGTTGATGGGAGGATTAAAATAAAGTGCACAGATCAATTTTTAAAAATAGGGCATGAAAAGGAGTGAAAATTAAGAAACCTATCCCCCCGGCCCATGGGGCTCAGTGGATTGAGCATCGTACTGGACTGAGGGGTCCTGGTTTGACCCTGGGTCGGGGTTGTGGGCTCAATTCCCCAGTAGGGGGCGAGCAGGAGGAAGCCGATTGATGTTTCTCCCTCACTTCTATGTTTCTCTCTCTAAAAAATCAATAAAAACATATTTTTTAAAAAAAGAAACCTTAGCTTTAGTATTTGGAAAAAATGGGCACTTAGGAAACCATCTATTGACAAACCATAAAAATAAATGTGATCATGTATAATAACTGATATAAAACAGATTTTGTCATTGGAAAACTACACATACTAAATATGTACCTTTTTTTTCATATGATCTCGTTTTACTTTATTAAGTTTCCTGGAATCAGTGTAGCAGTGGAAAGCCTATGGAAGTTAAGTAAGTAAAAAAGAAATTGGGGGACTCTTCAAAATTGTCAGATGGCAGACTCCCAAATTCTACTACTTACTAATACAGAGTCTGGTTATATCTTTTGAATACATGGCCTTTTTCACTTCTGTAGAAATAATATGTGCAAAGTACATCTCAAATATTTTATTTCAGCAAAAATGATTTTGTGCCTTTCTTTTGGAAGGCAAGAGGGTGAGATACACTCTTTAGATATGCTTATTGTAGCCAGGCTTTGATATTTAATTGTTCTATAGTTAGTTGGCAAATCAGATTTATTTGCATTTAATTATGAGTACAATGCAAACCTTATATATAAACCTACATTTATTTCATAGCTTACTGATTAAGTCACAGAAAACTGGTTAGAATCCTGATTCTGCTATTTTACTAGCTCAGTGGCCATGGACAAGTTATTTAAAGCCTCTAAACCTGTTTCTGTAGCTCTAAAATGAGAATAATAAACAGCACCTACCTCACAGGATTGAGACGTGAATGACAAAATGCACTTAAAGCTTTGGGTACTGTGCATGATGTAAACACTCAGATGTTGACTCAAATCAATGAATATTATTTCTAGCACACTTAAGTGACTTATATTACCAGTCAAAATGATATATTATTTCATGTAATGGCTTTATTTAGATAATATTTTACTAGGTATTAATAAGTTAACTCTTGGAACTTGACCACGGTTAATTTGAAAATAAGTTCAGCTATTTGGAACTGCACACAGTAACAAATTAACCACTGTAGTACTTTAAGACATTTTTACCCAAATAAACTAATGCTCTTTTTAAAATAATTTCCATATTAATAGAAGAATTGAGCTTAGATAGATAGTCCTACCTCTAAATCTTCTTCTTCATCAATCTTTTGTATATTTTGGTAGGCAGCAGTGTAGACCTCTAAAGCTTTGCCATGAAATAACATTTCAATAGTGATAAATTCTGAAAATATAGTCTAAAAAACACAAAGATTTGAATTTAAACAATCATAAAAATTGCATTGTGAATGTAGTAAAGTTATTCCTTACTTTAAAAATAGTCTTGCCATTTTTTGAAATACAGAGGTATCTTTTTTTCTACAGGGCACATTAAAAGAAATAGTTTTAAGACCTTTTGCAGCAAAACCTTCAAATTATACAAAATATTTCTTCTCTCACCATTTACTTACCTCTTATTATTTTAGTCAGTTCTAAATTGATATTTGTGATAACAAAAGATCTGACTTAAATGTATGTCATTATGTACTATTACCTATAAGTATTAGATAAAGCAGTTCAGTTCTGAAGCTGGTATTTTAGCAACTACAACACATGTTTAAACAATAGAATGTTTTTTGGACAGGAATTATATCCCTTCATATTTTGACGATATGTTACTTACATTCTCTAACTACTAGGGGATTTCTTGTTAATGATATTCCTACCTCTGATAATAGCAGCATACATGTGCATAAAGCTTCCTAGCTTACAAATATATGACTTGCTCAATGTTGCTCAGTTGGAATGTTGAGGCTTGAATCTTATTCTTCAGAAGTTATATCTTGCTCATTGTACTGTGTTGTTCTTGCTGGAAACAATAATTTCCTTTACAAATAAACTGTACAGGCAATCTTTATGAACATGACGACAATTTATGACAAGGAAGATCATGAGTAAAGAGAATGAAGATTTACGTGTTGATCTAAACAGAGGTGAGATGATTGGTAGGTTGGGAAAGGATACTAACCAGACAAGTTCATTAAAATAGGATCTTACCCTTTTGTTAATTATCTTGTCCTTTATCAAATGAAAAGTCAGAGCACTGATGTAGGGAGAAGTGGGCAGAATAAGAACAGGGTAGAAAAAAGCATTGTACTTAAAGGATAAAAGAAAAGATGGGTTACACTAGAAAGCAAGAGTCGGATACCTACTTCCCTTCATTCCTGCTCTTCTGTGTTAACCACCCAAAGAAGGAATATTCCTGTACTCTGGAAGATAGTCATAAAGATATTCCTCAGTATCCTATGATTTCTTTTATCTCCATCTCCATTTTTTTTTCTTAAGGGTTAGAAAACTATTTAAGGGAGTACAAACAGTGGAAACAAAACATTTGTAGTTGAAAGTATCCCTTTTGAGCTGCCAAGCATATATGTGGGTCTGGCTGCAAAGATTGGGCTCTGGGATAAGAGACTCGTAACCGTAACTAACAATGATCCTTACTATCACTTCATACAGGTCACAGGGGGCTCTGGTATACTGGGGACTGGCAATGACAATAAACTGCATTACACCAAGATACAGTTTTGGATTTCACACCAAGAATCTTTAGGTGTCCAGGAATAACTTAGAGGTGAAATGGCTTTTGACTAGGGCTGGGACTTACTATCTTAGTTGTCAGTCTTCCTAAGATTGTTGTCTAGCTAGAAAGGAGTCAGGTGCCCTTTAGGAGCATGGAACTCCTAGAGGGAAAACAGAACTAGGAGTCAATGAAAAGCCAAAGAATTAAGGACCCATACTCATTCCTGGTCTGTAGCTTATTTTAGATAATAAAAACAAGCACAGGCTTCCATCGTTCCTTCTGAATATTAAACATTCTCCACCTTTAGTAAATGAACTCTATAAAAATAATACAGGCATAGACTTTATTTTTATTTAAGGCTGGAACAGAAATTTCTGTTTTTTAATTATTTAGGCTTAAAATTAGAATTACAGAATAAGCCCTTAGACTTGTTTAAGGTGAGTACAGAGGGAGGTGGTGAATGCACATTTTAGAATGCCAGGCATTCTTAATTTTTCTTGTGTAGAGGATTTAGAGACCATCTGTGTACTTACATGGATCTGTTTACAGGCATACCATATTTTATTGTACTTTGCAGATATTGTTTTTTTTTTTTTTTAAATTCTCACCCAAGGATATTTTTCTATTTATTTTCAGATAGAGTGGGTGGGGGGAGAGAGAAAGAAACATTGATGTGAGAGCGACACATCGACTGGTTGCCTCCCCCACAACTGCAACCAAGATATGTGCCCTTGACTGGAATTGAACCTGCAACTCATTGGTCCATGGGTGATGCTCTAACCACTGAGAAAACTGGCCAGGGTGATACTGTATTTTCTTTTTTTTTTTAATCCTCACCCAAGGACATTTTTCCATTTTTTATTCAGATAGAGTGGGAGGGGGGGGGGGAGAGAGAGAGAGAGAGAGAAAGAAACGTCGACGTGAAAGGAACACATCGAGTGGTTGCCACCCGCACGACCCAACCAGGGCCGGGGACAAACTGCAACTGAGATATGCGCCCTTAGCAGGAACTGAACCCGGGTCACTCCGGACCGCAGGCCAACACTCTAACCGCTGAGCTAAACCAGCCAGGGCTCTTTTTTTTTTTTTTTTTTTACAAATTGTAGGTGAGACCCTCCACCAGGGTTCAGATGATTAGCATTTTTTTAACAATAAAGTATTTTTAATTAAAGTATGTACATTTAAAAAAAGACAATACTTTTGTACACTTAATAGAATACAATATAGTATAAACATAACTTTTATATGCACTGGGAGATCAAAATAATTATGACTCGCTTTATTGTGATACTCGCTTTACTGCAGTGGTCTGGAACAGAACCCATTATTATCTCCAAGGTCTGCCTGTACTTATGTGGAGAGAGAAGAGGTGTTTGTTTTACTCTATAAAAGCACCTGAGAATGAATAAGTAAAACAGCCTCAAGTAAGGAAGGAATGGCATTTAAATCACTGAAGTGAGTTGGGTACTAACTCCTATCTTAAAATATTTTTACAAATGGACATTCTAAATCTTTAATAGACCATCACACTATTTACTACCTAGTGAAATGCAAGTATTTCCAAGCTCATCGCACCTAAATCTATAGGTTTAGGCTTAATTCAAATCTACTTCACTGTGGTAACTTTGTGGACTATACTAAAATTTCAAAATAACAAAAATTTTTAAAAATATTTGGATATTGTTAAATTTCTAATGGTCAAAATCTCTTGAGTGATTTCATCTCTGAACTAACAAATCTTTTAAAAATTATTTTATTAATTTCTTTTTGTTACAGATGTTTCTCCTTTTTTTCCCCTATTGACGCTCTCCTCCCCATCCTCCCCCCCACCCCATACCTGGCTTTGTTGTCCATGTGCATTGGTTATGCATACATGCATATAAGTTCTGTAGTTTATCTCTTCCCTCCCTCCACCACCCCCTCTTCTGAGGGTTGTCAGTCTGTACCCTACTTCCACTTCTCTGGGTCTACCCAATTCCTCAGACTGTGAACTAATAAATTTTTAATACTAACATTTTATAGGAGTTATATTCCCCTTAGCTCCTAAGTAAACCCTGAAAAAGTATGCAGATATGTCTGTTACTAAAGAAAAATACATTTTTTATACATATCCTTTAAGAAGAATGTATTACATTTAAGAATGATCAACTTTGAGCCTGTTAGTGTCTTCCAATTTCAAAATTTCATTTCAGTTAGTGACAAAGTACATTAATAAGTATCTCTAATCTGTAAATGACTCATCTACTGTGTGGAAGGTAGGGGGGAAATCACGTTTTCTGATACCTTGGTTTACTTCTCTATGGTTTGAACTTTTATTCCTTGACAAAATTTGTATGATACACCTCTATAAGCCATGCTGACTTTTTATACTGTTTGTTTCTTTTTTTGTCAAAAACTGATGGAGAATCAATGGCACTGCTGAGCTAGTACCCCAGATTTGACCCCAGAGCCATGAAGCCTTAAGATTATCACAGAGGATAATTATATACCTGGGGACTGTAAGGAGAAAAAACTACCAGTTATACTCAAGAAATTTTTAGCTAGAATTTCATAAAATAACTGAAAACATGCAAAAGGGAACATAATTTCAAGGAACAATAAAGTTAGATGGCAAATTTTATAAGAACATGAAAAATGTGTTTTGAAGTAAATAATTTAAGTGTGTCATTAGAAAGTTGGTAGACTCAATTTTATATTTAGAAATAATTTTCTTCAAATAAATAGAGTTGTCAGTGATCTCACATAATGGGTCATAATAGTCATTTTTAAAATCCCACCTGAGGATATCTTTGTTGATTTTTAGAGAGAGAAGTGTCAATCAGTTGCCTCCCCTACATGCCCTGACCAGGGATGAACACACAACATTTTGGTGTATGAGACAATACTCTAACCAAGTGAGCCACCCCACCAGGGCTTCAATTTTATTTTGTGTGACATAATTTTTATTAGTGGGGGCAGAGAGCTCATCTGAATTTTTTTTTTACCCATCTGCAAGTGTTCTGTAAAGCAGAATAACATGTTAAAAATATGGGCTCTGCCCTGGCTGGGTAGCTTAGTTCTTTGGAGCGTCGTCCTGATATGCCAAAGTTGCAAGGATTCCATCTCTAGTTGGGGCACATGGAGAAGGCAACCAATGAATGCAAAGATGAGTGGAACAACAAAATTGATGTCTGTATCTCTCTTCCTCTCCCTTCCCTTCCCCCTTCCTCTCTCTCTAAAAAAAATAAAAAAAATTTTTAAAAAGGGTTCTGGATTAAAATAAACCTGGTTTCAAATCATGCCTGAAACAGCAGTTATGTACTATTAAACAGCTTATGTGCTCTTTTCCTTCATTTTCCTCATCTATGTAATGGGAATAACAATAGTATCAACCTCACAGGTTTTGCCTTAAGGATTAAATGAATTAACCCAAGAAAAGGTATGGTAATGCTATTGGCTTAAAGTAGGTAATCAACACAAGTTAGGTATTTTTATTGCTCAAGAAGTAAACCAGCCAAATTAGAAAATGTTCCTTATTCTAATAGTAAAGCCTCCATCTGGTTTAATTAACAATCAGGATATTTAACAAAGTTGTAAACAAACTTGTTTACATTTTGGCAAATAAAGGGAAAATGACAGTGCTCCAGATTAAGAGGCTATTCAGTAAATGATGTCAGAACTTTCTATCCACAATAACGTCACATATATACTTCATATCATGTGCAAAAAGTAACTGCAAGATTAAATATTTAAAAATTCATACAAATAAATACCAGAAGAAAATATAAGCGAATATTTATATAATAATCTTGAGGATGACAAAGCTTTTCGTAGCATGACACCAAAGCAGAAACCAAAAAGACCAATATATCTGGCCACAAAAATAAAACTTTTAAGGTGGCAAAAGCACACAATAAGCAACAAAATGGGAGATACATTTGCAGCATATCTTTAAAGGGTTAGTTTTCTAAATATAAGAGAACTGCTACAAATTAAGAAAAGTGCCAATATTCTATAAAAATACAGGCTAAGGATAAGTGAGTTATTTACTAAGGAAGAAATAAGACGTGTCATTTAATACATGAAAAAGTAGTCTGTTTCAACAGTAATAACATGCCAGTTAAGACACTAATTCTTTTACCTATCAGTTTAGCAGTTAAAAATAACTAATTGCCCAGCTGGTGTGGCTTGCTGGTTGAGTGTTGACTCATGCACCAAGAGGTCACCAGTTCAATTCCTGGTCAGGGAACATGCCCAGGTTGTGGGCCCGATCCCCAGAGTGGGGCATGCAAGAGGCGGCCAGTCAGTGTTCTCTCTCATCGATGTTCCTCTCTCTTAAATCAATACAAAAAATACTATTAATTGTTACATTGGGGTACTCATGCAGTGTTTTGTGGGCATGTAAACTATTTTAAGCTTTGTGGACAGAAGTTTAAAAATAGAGTATATTGACTTCTATTTCTTAGCACAAATATGTCCATGATATATTAAATTTTTAAAAGATAGGTTATATATAGTGTGGTCCCATTTAAATATAACTGAGTAATATTAACTTCCTCAAGGATGTTATGAGTAAATGAGGTTTATCCACATAAAATTCTTAGAACATGTGACATAGTCATTGCCTAAGAAATGTGTGTTATTACCATATCTTTTTTGCATATGTGCATAGGAAAAATGTATGAAAGGACATATACCAAGTGCTATTTCTGATTAGTGGGATTATTAAATTTTTCTCAATTTTATAAAAAAATTATGGTGATTTTATAATATAAGGAGAATAAAGCTGTTAAAAAAAATTTAGAAGCTGTTTCTTGCTTATGTCAGCCACTTTACCACATTCTGAATTCCTGTCCCTATCTGTTTAGGGAGTGATCCCTGGTCATGATGCATTCTGTGAGTGAGATTCTCTTGACATCATCAATAGCTGATTTCTCCTATTACATGGGAAACAAATGGTGCTGTGATTTTTCTTCCACATTCTGTCCAGTTTCATTACCAACTTTTCTTACAAAGAAAAATTCTTTGCAAGGTGTCTTTGAAAAGACTTTGTCTAATTGTGCTCCCTTGCTGTTCAATGCTGCTAACAAAATTCAGAGGGATTTGATTAAACCCCAACACAGACATGTTAATACAGTTATGAGCAGTCATGGCCATACAAAGCAGAGATTCAGAACTCTAAGAGACTCTGGTATTGATTTCTGGAGTTTGCTAGAGTTGTGTTCATCATTAAAAGTGTAGGTCACAGATGACATAATCTGGTATGCAGAAAATCCTAAGGTATCTATTAAAAATCTATCAGAGCTAATGAGTTCTGCAAGGTCACAGGATATAGAATCAGTATGCAAAACTAAACTGTATTTCTGACAATTAAAAAATGAATTATAAAACACTTAGGAAAAAATTTAAGAAAAGCACAGAACTTAAACTCTGAAAACTACAAACACTTAAATTAAGGAAGACTGAAAAAAATGGAAGACATCCCATGTTCATGGATGGAAAAATTAATCTTAAAATGGCAGAACTCCCCAAATTGATCTAAAGATTTGATGTAGTCCCTATAAGATATCAGCTGACTTCCTATAGAAACTGACAAGCTGATTCTAAAATTTAGATCCAGAGTAGCCAAAACAATCTTTAAAAAGACCAAAGAGAAAGAACTCAGCCTTGTTTTAAAACTTACTACAAAGCAATGCCGATTAATCAAGATAGTGTGGTACTGGCATAAGGACAGACATTAGATCAATGAAAGAGAACAAGGGTCCAGAACCAAACCATGCCAACTAATTTAAGTATTTAAACTATTAAATCAATAAGGGTTCCAAAACTATTGACTGGAAGAATAGTTTCTTCAACAAGTGCTGGGACAACTGTAGTCACATGCAAGACCATGAAGTTTCAACCTTTTGCTCATGCCATATACAAAAATTTACTCTCCATGGATCACAGACATGAAATAACAAAAACTATAAAAATTGTTAGGAAAAAATGGATAGATCTTTATGATCTCAGATCTGGCAAGGGATTCTGAGATATGATGCTAAAAGCATGAGCAACAAAAGTAAACATACATATTGGACTATCAAACACTCACACTTTGAGATGTCTGTTCTGAGTTGACTTGCTGGTAGAATTCTATTTTGATCTAGCTGTTCAGAAAGACTACTCCCTTAACTCACATTAAGTTAAGGCGTTAGCATATAAATTGTCTTGTAGTGATGTATAAATAAAATAAATTGATTAAAAAAAATTATGCTTCGCCCTGGCCGGTTTGGCTCAGCGGTTAGAGCGTCGGCCTGTGGACCAGAGTCCTGGGTTCAGTTCCTGCTAGGGACATGTACCAAAATTTTTTTTTTAAAAATTATGCTTCAATGAACACTATTAAGATAGTGAAAAGAAACCACAGAATGGGAGAACATAATGCAAATCATATATCTGATAAGGGTCTTGAATCAGAATATACCAGGTACTTTTATAACTCATCCAATGAAAATATGGTTGAGGAATTTGAATAGACATTTCTTCAAGGAAGATAAATAAATGGCCAATAAACATCAACATGGAAATGTAAATCAAAACACGGTGTAATACTACTTCACACTCACTAGGATGACTTATAATGAAAAAGTCTTAATGAACAGCAAATAATGATATGGAGAACTGGAACCCTCATACTGGTGGTACAGCTACTTTGGAAAATAGTCTGGCAGTTTACCAGAAATATCGTTTACTGTATAATTCAGCAATTCAACTAGGTATATATTTAAGAAATGAAAATATATGTCTGTGCAAAAACTTGTATATAGATATCATTAGCCATAACAGCCAAAAGGCAGAATCACCTGATGAATGGATAAGTAAAATGGCAATATCCATACAATGGAATATTCAACTTTAAAAAGGAATGAAGTAGCCCTGGCCAGTTTGGCTCAGCGGTTAGAGCGTCGGCCTGCGGTCCAGAGAGACCCGGGTTCGGTTCCCGCTAAGGGCATGTACCTTGGTTGCAGTTTGTCCCCGGCCCTGGTTGGTCGTGCGGGTGGCAGCCACTCGATGTGTCCCTTCACGTCGATGTTTCTCTCTCTCTCTCCCTTCCTCTCTCTCCCTCCCACTCTGTCTGTACAAAAAATGGAAAAATATCCTCGGGTGAGGATAAAAAAAAATTAAAAAAAAAAAAAAAAAAAGGAATGAAGTAGACACATGCTACAAATATGGATGAGCCTTGAAAGCATTATGTTAAGTGAATGAAACCAGTTACAAAAATCATGTATTTTAGGATTCCATTAATATGAAATGTCTAAAACAGCCAAATTCATAGAGACATAAGAATAGAGGTGGTTGTTTAGAGCTGGGGTAGGGGTGTGGGTGGAGCAGAGAGGTAAAAGCTGAAGTGTACTAGGTTTCACTTGGAAGATGATGAAAATGGAAAATGGTCTAAAATTGAATGGTGTTGGTAGCACATATCTGAACACATAAACACTTTAAATGGGTGAGTTGTATGATTTGCGAATTACATCTCAATTTTTAATTTTATTTTTTAAAATTGGTTTTTAGAGAGAGAGGAAGGAAGAGGGAGAGAGAAACATCAACGAGAGAGAACATTGATTGGCTGCCTCTTGCATGCCCCCACTAGGGGTTGGGCCCACAACCTGGGCATGTGCCCTGACCGGGAAATTGAACCAGCAACCTCTTAGTGCATGGATCAACGTTCAACCACTGAGCCACGCTGGCCAGGCTACATGTCAACTTTTTAAAAAGTGGGTTTCTTCATGTCTTCCTTTTTTATTGTGACCACCAAGAGACTCTTTCTTTGGGGGTATGATATAGCAGGCAAAGAGAAACATTTGGAAGCCCCTTTCTTCTCTGTGCACCCTCCACTGTGCGTCCCTTGCCCCATGTCCTGTTGTTTCAGGAAATCCCAAGTATTAAAAATTGCAGGTGGGAATACTGCACTCACTCACTCTGCCCTAGTCTTGTAATTGGTGATGCTCTGGGAATTAAAAACACCTGTAGAGGTGGTCTGCATGCAGGTGGAACACTGAAGTAAGCCCAAAGATCAGAGACATAGACTGCCATGTGTAAAAGAAAATTCTGCAGGCCTAAGAAATACTGGTGAGAGCAAGGAATCAGACTCCTATCACTAAAGAAGCCCTTAAGTGGCAGTGGAACCAGGCATACCTCACAAGTCTCTATTCTTATTTTCCAGATTAAAGCTAAAATATATCCTGCTCATACTCTCCCACCTCAGTAAAGGTGTTTGTCTTCGGGCAGCTTCCTGAGATGCTTTTCATACGTTGCAATCTATCATTACACAACAGAATACAAACTGAATTGAAAGGCTTTCAAAACGTTTTTTTGGTCTTCAGGACCAAACTGGAGACCTATGAACATAGCTATCAGTAAAACTGAAGTTCTGAAATCCTTTGAAACTGTGGCAGGGAATTAAAATATAAAAGGTGCAAATGGATTTTGTTTCACAGATTATAGAGGAATGATATAATTAGATGATTATTAACTTCTTGAAAACAGGATGTTTCTTTGTTAATAATTGTAAAATGACAACAATAGTTTTCTTTAAAGCTTGTTCCAGGAAAATTTGCAGTACATCAAAAAGGTGTCCTCAGATGACTTGTTTTAAAGGACATAATGTGGTCATAAGCAATCCCCCAAATCTTTCCAAGTTGCCTACAAAAAAGTCACAGAAGACTTTCTGGAGTCCATGATGCTAAAGGTTTCATATCTATTAATGTATTATAATAAAATAAGGCAATTCTTGTGACACCTTATCACACTGGATACAAGTTTATGTGGTTAGCTATTCTTACCCTATTTATTTATAATAATACACATATGTAGTTATTAGTAAGCTTTATGTTATAAAAAATAATAATGTATTTTTATTATAATATTGAAGCACAGATTTTTAAAATACATAATTGATTTATAGTTCAAATTTTGTCTATCCTTTGGAAAAGTTACTTTATACCTCTGCTTATTTTAAAAAATATAATATGGATAATGCCACCTCATTCTCATGGGGTTGCTGTAAAGATTTAAAAGATAATTTATACAAAGTGCCTGGAATAGTGCCTGATACATAAAAACAATAAATGTTAGTTCTCTTTGATTAAATAGTATTTGTAATAAAAAGTTGAGTATCTGGCCTCTGGTTGGATATAGCCCCTTTATTTCATTTTTTTCCCATAACAAAATAACATCTGATATATTTTTGTATTTTTCAAACAGACTCTAGACTAAAAAAAAACATAGTAATGTATTCTCTGTATCTATGAGTCTATTTTGTTCTTTACATTCTACATGTAAGTGTAATCATACAGTGTTTGTCTTTTTCTGTCTTATTTTTCTCTTAGCATAATACCCTCTAGATTTATCCATGTTGTCGCAAATGGTAAGACTTCAGTCTTTTTTATGGCCAACTAATATTCCATTGTATATATGTATCACCTCTTATTTATCCATTCATCTCTCAATGGACACTTAGGTTGCTCCCATACCTTGGCTATTGTAAATAATGAGGCAATGAACAGGGGTATATATATCTTTTTGAATTAGTGTCTTTGATTTCTTCAGCTAAATCCCTAGAAGTTGAATTGCTGGGTCATAAAGTAGTTTTATGTTTAATTTTTTTAAAGAACTTCTATACTATAATGTTTCCATAGTGGCTGCACCAATCTGCAATCCCACATGGTGAGGACTGGGTAAAAAAAAAAGTGAATGTTTTAAGAAGTTTAAAAATAGTCATGGGGATTTAAAGTACAGCTTAGGGAATGTAGTCAGTAATACTGTAATAACTACACATGGTGTCAGATGGGTGCAAGACTTGTAGCGGGGGATCACTCTGTAAAGATATAAATGTCTAATCACTATGCTGTATACCTGAAACTAACATAAAACAACACTGAATGTCAACTGTAATTGAAAAATAAAAATCACAGTAATTTAAATTTTTTATAAATTTGAATATAACGTAAGGTAAGGTTAAAAAGCATGTTTTGAGCCTTAACAGTTACTTTATTACCTTTATATCCTTTATTTTCTGCTTTTCAAAATTGTCAATAGTTTCTTCCAGATGACGAGTTGTTCGGGTAGCATCCATTGTAGCTCTCTGTAATTCGGTTTCTGCCTACAAAAGTATTGCCCAACAAAAGATATAAAAAAAATTAAATCAGAATCCATTCATTTGAGTCTGTCTGTAAACAATGCCATTGCAGTATTGGCTTTTTGGCATAACAGTGTAAATGTCAATATTTTTTGCCACATAAAATAAAATGATCTATATAATAAGCACATGTAAAATAAAGTTAAATCTATTAAGTGACATGATTCATGATCTCAAACAAAACAAAATCCTTCCCTTTCTTTCTACAAAATAATTTTTCCCCTATATCGCCCTTGGATGATTTACTATAAAACAATTGTCCGTATTTTTCTACTGCTTTCACCTATTTCACTGTGTGCCATCTATCATACTATTCTTTTTCTCCTCATAATTTCTCTCCCCTTTAACCTTGTCTCCCTAAAAAAAAAAGGGCCTGTGATTTAAGTGTTTTTAAATTTCTAGTTCTCCAAATGCATGAAATGTTCTCTAATCAGGTGGAGTACAATATACACTACATATATTTATTTCAGCATTGAGTTTCTATTTGTATATACTTAATAAGCTAACAATATTACACTGCTACTATTTAGTTAAAATTTATTATAAGAAATTCTATATATACCGTAATGAATAAATTAGATGACAAGTCTAATGCTTTACTTCATATACTCTAATAAGTAATCATACTATCTAGACCTGTGTTTTACAATCAATGGTGGCACTAGCCACATGCAACAATTTACACTTAAATTAATTAAAATGAAATGAAAATTTTAAATCTGGTTTCTTACTCTAGTCACATTTCAAGAGGTCAATAGCCATATATTAACTTGTGACTACAGTTATGTAAAGTGCAGAACATTTCCAATCTTATCATGTATTTCTCTTATAAAAGCAACTCTTCTTTTAGGTCTATAGTTACCCAAATATATTTAAGATTTTTTTGTTAAATAGTAACATAGATATTTTAAAGCACAGCCTGAAATTCTGATTCAATTCTTTCCAATAAAGTTTTATTTCCTATGCTAGTATTATATTTGCTCAAAAGTATCACATATCATCATTTAATAGTTAATCCATGGGAAAAATCTGCATCTATCACCAACGTTGTTGACACATAATATTGTGACATTTAGCCCTTGCTTTCTTTTTCAAGAAAATATATAAATTGAAATAAGTAAAATGGTTTACTCTAAGGATCCATCTCGACACACCACTTTATTACCCACCTGTGACTGAAATTTTTCATAAAGGAAAAAATACATTTCAAAGAGAATATTTTTTCAATAAATTAAAATCATATACTCTTAATGAATTATAAACTCTTAAAATTAGATTATACATTAATTATAACTATATTGATTATAAACTCTTATAATTAGGTTAATTTAAGCACAATTTCAAGACACTAAGCATTTAAAAATTTATTCATTTATACCTGTATGTGTATGTGTGTGTCTAAGCTTGCCATATAGGGTGTAAAGTTTTTTAAAACCATACATACTTGTTTTGTTTTGCTCCTGTCATTCTTTAAAAAAAAAATTTTTTTTCTTTATTGATTTTAGAGAGGGAGAGAGAGATAGAAACATCAATGAGAGAGAACATCAATCGGCTGCCTCCTGCATGCCCCCCACTGGGGATTGGGCCCACAACCTGGGCATGTGCCCTGACTGGGAATCGAACTGGAGACCTCTTGGTGCATGGGTCGACCCTCAACCACTGAGCCACACCAGCTGGGCAAAACCATACACACTTTTATAACTAATTAATTATAACTAATTATCAAAAACAATTCTCTACATTACGGGGCTTGGGATTTTTAATTATTATTTTTAAATGTTTTTTATTGATTTTTTTAGAGCAAGAGGAAGGAAGAGGGAGAGAAACAGATAGAAATATCAATTGGCCATCTCCTGCACACCCCCCACTGCGGATTGGGCCTGCAACCTGGGCAAGTGCCCTGACTGGGAATTGAACCGGCACTGCGTGATGCATGGGTTGACGCTCAACCACTGAGCCATAACTGCTGGGCTGGGCTTGGGATTTAAAAAAAAATAAAACTTCATCACAGGAAATTCAAAAGTAAATTGGGCTCTTTTGAAGATTCATTAGTATGAAAAAATTTCTTATTTCATGCATGTTAACCTTTTACTAATGAGAGTTTTAAGCAGACTAATTTTGTAATACTACATGTGATTCATGCAATTCTTTACTTGTGGATACTTTCGTTTTAATTATGTCTTTCCCCTTATTTATATTTATTGATAGCTTCATTTAAATTTTGGATGGTAGGATAGGGAGATTTGGCTAAATGAGGAATGCATGGGGAAGCAAAAGCCATAGCTAGGACATCAGAATCTTAAATGCGCCACCCTCCAGCAATTACTTTTCACTTTTTTAAAAAATCCTCACCTGAGGATATTTTTTTTTATCCTCACCCGAGGACATTTTTGCATTTATCTTCAGGTAGAGGGGGAGGGAAAGAAGAGGGGTAAGAGAGAGAAACATCGATGTGAGAGAGACACACCGAGTGGTTGCCACCCACATGACCCCAACCAGGGCCAGGGGCAAACTGCAACCACTGTACGTGCCCCTAGCGGGAACCAAACCCAGGACTCTCTGGTCGGCAGGCCGACCCTTTAACCACTGAGCCAAACTGGCCAAGGCGGATATTTCCCTATTTATCTTCAGACAGTGGGAGGGAGGGAAAGGACGTGAGAGGGACACATTGACTGGTTGCCTCCTACATGACCCTGACCAGGACGAGGGACTAACCGAAACAGAGGTATGTGCACTTGGCTGGAATCGAACCTGAGACTCTGGTCCACGGGCTGATGCTCTACCGCTGAGCCAAACCAGCCAGTGCTACTTTTCATTTCTTAGTCTCAAATCCTTTTATTCCAGCATAGCATCTTGCCCAAAGTTACATGGCTATTTTTAACAAAGAGGATATAGATTTCTGTTTCTTCCTTTTGTTGAAAATTCTTCAAAATCCTATAATATACCAATTTGAGTAGGAAATGGTTTTGATTAAAATGATATGACTATGAATATCAGTATATTTAATAAAACTATTCATGAATGCAAAACAGTTATAAAGAGGTGAGCCAGATTGGTGTTTTTCAAATTGTGTTCCAGGCAGCTTGTTCAGAAGCCACCCTGTGTCTTGGGGAGTGAACAGGCAGAGCCCTGGGATTCTTTACCTTATCCTCTTATACCAGAACTATGCCACTTCATTTTATGTACTGAACTTTAATGTGCTTCTTTTGAATAGTCTGATGAATTTTAAGGCCCTATCCTGATTACTATTCTATGATGCTATGACTGAATATGTTTATATTTATATCAAATACATTTATATGTAGATTACCCTTTATTGTCTGAGGTTGTCAAAATCTGAATTCTCAGGTCTTTCTCAGTGAGCATAGCATTTCACCTATAGCAATAAGCCGTCCAGTTGTTGCATTTTTCTCCCTATGTGAATCTGCAGACCTGCTTCATCTATAGTACAAGATTACCTCTTCCACAGCAGTGTTTAAAGAACATCTAAGTCAGTAACATCTTTGTTTTAGGAATAGATTAATTTCTGTGTTGAGTATCAATACTAATACCCCTCATTTTACCTTGCCAACCACTCAGGATTCCAGATGTGACATTTTTTTTTCTGCCTTTATGTACTCTTCTATAAAACAAAACAAAATTTTGACCTCTGGCATAATTCTTTAAAACTAGTGACATCCTTCGGCCTCTGTTGTCATCTCTGTTTGTCAGTCATAAATTTTCCAGCATTCTCTGGTTTATCTTACTTAAAACCCAGACTCTATCATCTGTAATTGGTAGATCTTAAGCCTCAAGTACTGTCTAGTTGTTCCTGTCCTAGCCTCCGATGGGTAGTCCCAGCCCTGTGGCTGCCCATTTTTGTTTATTACAAGGTTGGGCATATGTACCTTTGGTCCAAAGGAAGGAGGACCAGGCAATTGGCGTAGCCCCAAATCACTGCTCAAGGGATTCCCCTCAGGAATGGAGGTGTTCTGGAACCTCAAATGCCCCCAAAGAGCCACTCCTCATGTGGTTTCTGGCTGAGCTGGGCAGTATAAACCTTAAGGAAGTAGGAAGAAGACATAAGAAATGGGAAAAAGAGGCAGTGGGATAAGTTAGTACTTTCTACACAATTGCACCTATCCCAGTTGCTGGCAATTAGCTAGATACTATTTTCTATTGTTTAGTCACGAACAAGGCACAATCCAGTTTAAGAAACAGTCATTCTTAACAGAACTTTGTTACAGTAGACACTCCTATCTAGATCACTTTGTGTCCAGCTGTGGACATCAACTATACTCTTGAATCTCCTCAGGGTTTTGACTAGAAGTCATAATTGTGGTTTCATAGTGTTTTTTTGTTTTATTTTTTTAGCATAAAGGGAATTATATTGGCGAAATAAAGATTTTTTTCTTTCCATTCTTAAAAACAGGGCAGATGGCATTGCTAAATTACAATTAATTATAGATCTTTAATTTTATAATTAATACTTAGTCATTATCATGTGAATAAAAATCTCAGAATCTTAAACTTACTGTTTATAAAAACTCCTACATTTATGAGTTTTATTTTTTGAATATCTATTGTGAAAATCAATATAAGGGGACTGAATTAGGTGTTGTATTCTCTTTAAAATGATCTAATTTCTATAGTGAAAATTCATAAATGCATATTTCTTTTTAACCATTATATTCAAATTCTCTGCACATTTAAAAGTAGAAATGTATAATTTCTATGTGTATTTACTTTTATACTGCATACCTTACAAAATGATTTTTAAAGACCAAAATACAAAGGATACAATAACATGTCGGTCAGATGGGTTTCGCTGACGTGTTTTTTCTAACTGAGTTAACTGTTTAGCTTCTCGATTCCTTGCTGTTAATGTTGCTTTGAGGTCATCCTGTAAATAGGCATATTTTTGTTAATAATCTATGAGTTTAGAAATAAAATACACACCCTCTGATTTAAGGACAGGAGAATGGTCTTGTTTGATCCAGGCCTCATTATCACAGGAATTACTAATACATAATTAGTGTATATCTTTATGTGTGACAGTGCACACATATGTGTTTCTTTTAAAGATATGTTTTTATTGATTTTTCAGAGAGAGAGGAAAGGAGAGATAGAAACATCGATGTGAGAGAGAAACACATATGTGTGCCTCCTGCAGCCCCCACCGGGGATTGAGCCTGCAACCCAGGTATGTGCCCTGACTGAGAATTGAACTGGGACCGTTCAGTCCATGGGATGATGCTCAATCCACTGAGTCACACCAGCCGGGCACATATATGTTTCTTTAATATCCTTTAGAAATAATGACAAAGTCAAGATAATTTCGATGTAAAACTATAACCATATATATATATGTGTGTGTGTATATATACACACATATACACACACACACACTATATATATATATCAAATATATATATATATATGATTTTTATAGTGGTGGTAGTTACATGTATATATACATTTGTCAAAATTCAATGAAGACTTAAAATGGGAGAATTTTATTACATGTAAATTATACCTCAATACAGTTTGTTTAAAAAATAAAAATTTGAGCCCTGGCTGGTTTGGCTCAGCAGTTAGAACATTGGTCTGAGGACCAATGAGTCCTGGGTTTGATTCCAGTCAAGGGCACGTACCTCGGTTGCAGTTTGTCCCCAGTCCTGGTCAGGTCATGTGGGAGGCAACCAGTTGATGTGTCTCTTCACACTGATGTTTTTCTCTCTCCCTCTCTGTCTCTCTTTCCCTCCCTCCCTCTCTATCTGATGATAAATGGAAAAATATTCTTGGGAATTAAGAAGTACAAATTGTTTGTTAGACTGATGAATCTCAAAGGGAAGTAGGGAGGGAGGGTGGGATGAGATAAATCAGAGAACTTCTATGCATATATACATGACCAATGGACGCAGACAATAGTGTGGGGAAGGCGGGGGGGGGGAGGGGTTAGGGAGGGGGGAGTCAAAGGGGAAAAAAGAGGGGATATCTATAATACATTCAACAGTAAAGATAAGTTAAAAAAAAATATCCTCGGATTAAAAAAAGAAAAATGAAAAACTTTGAGGATGTACATACAGTATGGTGACTATAGTTAATAGCACTGTATTGCATATTGCATATTTGAAAGTTGCTAAGAGAGTAGATATTAAAGCTCTATTCACAAACAGTGTAATTATGGTGACAGACGTTAATTAGATTTATTGTGGTGATTATTCACAATATATACAATTATCAAATCATTATGTTGTATACCTGAAAATAATGTTATATCAATTATACCTCAATTAAAAATAGAACTTTGTCATACTCATTTGTAGTCTACATTTTATTACCTGTTCTAAAACAGAAATATAGTCTACATTTTATTACCTGCTCTAAAACAAAAATATAATCTCATGTTTCTATACATATACTCTTCATGACTGTAAATAATAAAAATGTTCATAATAAAAACAATGCTTTATGTTGCTACAGTATACTTAATAAGCTCACTAAAATATCTTTTTTCTCAAAGTTCTAAGAAATGATGACTTTTCAGAGTGTGTAAAAAAATGACTAAACACTACCTGTACTTTTTTTAAAAGAACAATTATTGGAAACCTTATACTCTTTGTTGGAATATCTAATAATAGTAAAAAATGAATTTACTTACTCGCTTCATTTTTACAATGGTTCCATAAGCTTTCAGTGGTTCAACTACTTTGGCTTCAAGTCTTTCAACCTATTAAAAATTATTATAAAATATAACTGAAAGGAAACAGATCAGAATTTCAATTCTGAAATAAAAACTGTGCTGTTTAACCTAAAAATTACTACACAGACTAATGAAAATATTTTTCCAATTAAAATGTCACAGTTCAACTTATCTTCAATAATTACCAGAATTGATAAGATTCAGAATCTAAATGTAAACACATTAAACACTGTTAAGCTATATAGTAACAATTAAAGCAGAAAAGCACCTGGTATGCAATATGACAAGAAAATGTCTCAGGATTTCAAGGAACTCATTCTTGCCATACCACCATTTCTGTATTACTTTTGTACCTAAACTAAGTAGCTTTTGGGTAAGTTTTAAGACTTCTCAAGTTTTAATACAATTACCATTTAAGTGTGTTTAGCAGTGTTGGATACTTTAAATATATATTCTCTAAAATGTACTAGCCCAACCTTCCAGATAGAGAAGCTGAAAGATACAGCATATTGGAAACATTTAAAGCAACACAATCCTCAAAATCAAGAAAGCTTAGAGACCACTAAGCTGCGATATTTTTCTGGGAAGCCATTCATAAATTATCCAAGCTTAGAGAATAAGATAAACGGTCTCAAGTGTTCCTGAGCTGTGAAACTGTATGGTTGATCTCTCTTTTATTTAGAAAGAAACAGTTTTTAAAAATTACAATTCTTATTAAATATTAGATATTCTTTTACTAATAGCACTAGTGGAAGACACTGAAGAATTAGATTAAAATAATTTTTAGAGAGAGGGAGATAGAAACATCAGTGAGAGAGAACATCAATTGGCCACTTCCTGCATGCCCCCCACTGGAGATTTGGCCTACAACCTGGGCAGATGCTCTAACTGGAAATCGAACCAGCAACCTCTTGGTGCATGGGCTGACGCTCAACCACTGAGCCACACTGGCTGGGCTAGATTTTTTTTTAAGGCAATTATATAGCATAAGAAAAATAACTCTTGGACATTAAAATTTCCTTTTTCAGGATAGGTAATACAAGATGACATGTATTTAACTGTTTAAGAACATGTGTTATTTTTGCAGCAGGAAAAGGGTTTTTTTTTTTTTACTCTCACCCAAGGACATTTTTGCATTTATCTTCAGATAGAGCGGGAGGGAGAGAGGGAGGACGAGAGAAACATCGATGTGAGAGAGACACATCGACTGGTTGCCACCCACACCCCAACCTGGGCCAGGGACAAACCACAACTGAGGTACATGCCTAGTGGGAACCAAAACCGGGACTCTCTGGTCCACAGGCTGACGCTCTAACCACGGAGCCAAACTGGCCAGGGCAGAAAAGGGCTTTTTTTGATGATACATGTTCATCCAAACGTGTTTATCAGTGAGTACACTTCATACTGACCTTCCTTTAGCTTCTATAAATAAAATGTATCTGAATGTTTCATTTTAAAACATTTTGGGAAAACAAGGAAAATCAAGTTCTCAATGAGCATTTAAATATTAGAAATCCTCAAGTCAAAACCATGACTATTCAGGATAGTTTAGTCTATACCACGTTGAATAATCCATACACTGATCACTCAGTGTAAGGGTTGTCCAAGTCTTTTTTCTGTTCTCCTTTTTGTCGCCTACCTTTTGTTCATTGTTCATTAGCACCTCCTCAATTTGGTAAGCACAGGAAATAAAAAGGAGAACAAGTGTGAATCCATTCACTTGGCTATTTGATAAATAGCATAAAGGTTTTCTAGAACGGGATAATGAAAGGATTGGCTAACATGGGATTTTAGGATTATCTGATTATAAATTATTTCTGAAATAAAAAGTCATCAGTTACGTATAACTAAGAGTTGCTTGTTTATTACAGAAGAAATATGACAAAACTCAAGTTTTCCTAAAAGTACACCCAAACATAATCACTACTCAAATTTCTGTATGAATAGCAATTATAGGGTCAAAAAATCAATGTTTTTTTTTTGATAATTGAAATTTGTTTTAGGCTTTAGAAAAAAGACCAAAAAGCACTGATGAGAAAAGTGCCAAAGAAGCAATGCAGCTCTAATACGGCAACATTTGACAAGTTAACCTGTGTCTTGAAACCTAAATAAATATTAAGTGAAAGTGCTTAGAGGTAGTAAAGGAAAAAAATGGGTTTAGGAAGGAAAACAGTTACACTACCACCTTCTTCCCTATCCACCCACGCCCAAGCAAAACATCTCTACAAAGTCTCACTACTGGTTTGCATCCATGTTATACATCAGTGTCGTACCTCTCTGGTCCATTTCTTACTTGTTCACTTACATTCTCATTCCCAACATCTTCCATCTCCAGACATGCTTTATACTTGACCACAAGATACAAATCATGCTCCTTTTCTTCCCCAATGGCACTATGTTTAGGAACCCCTGTAAAATAGCCATCTCTTGGCCAGAAGTTGGAAAATGAAATGGGGAAAGTCAAGACTTAAAGATGCTTGCAAGTGTAGTTTGAAAATGGTAAAATCACAGGAAACTTCCCTTTAATTGATTCACACAGTGTTACAGACATGAAAAGGTAAGTTTATCAGCAAGAGTGTGTTCACCACCTCAGATTACAAGTGAATCTTAACTTCCTCTACTTAAGGGCTCATTCCTAACAATGACGCGGTGACCTCTCTCCATACCTGTGCTTGTCGATAATCCTGAAGTTTGGCAAACTCATCAGCAAAGTTTTTCAGGCCCTGTTTTAAATTTGGGGTCTCTGTAGAGGCATACACATTTATTTCATTCACCAGGAGGTCTGCTTTGTCTCGCAGTCTGGCAGTTTTCCGCACATAAGCAGCAAATATTTGGCACAGCTCTCCAAAATGCTTCTCCACATTTGTGACAGCATTTTGCAGTTGTCTGGTTTGAGCGTCCCTAGAGAAAAAGGTGACACAAAAAGCAAATCATTCTTATTAGGGACAAGATGGCTTCATCTCCAAGTGAATTTCATAGGCAAACATTCCCGGGGATTTCGCAGCTTCTCCTGAGGCGGATTCCCCTTCTCTAGGCCTCCCTCCAGGCCGGGCCTTAACATCCCTTGTAGGGGCGCGAAGACCCGGCTCGGCGGCCCCGTCGCTGCGGGGTGGCGGCTGCTGGGGCTGCGCCGCCGGGGCGCCCCGCTGCCACCCGGGGCTCGCCGCAGCCCGGGGAGGAAGGCCCACGGCGCCGCAGGGAGGATCTGCCGCCGGCCCGGGGTCGAATTCGGCACGTAGGCCCCACGGAGAGAGGTTCCGCATCTCCCCACCGAGCCTTCACGTGTGGGGCACCCTGGGCAGCGGGAGGGGCCGGGGCTGTTACCGGTTTTCCAAGCTGCGCCTCAACATCTTGCCTCGCGCACCACCGAGACCCGGGACGGGCCCAACGACGGGTCTCCGAAGGGCCGGGGCGTGCGCCGGGGCGCGAGCCGCCGCTGCTGGAGCCCGAGAGCCCGCCCCGCGTGCCGCCGCGTCATCCGGCGTTTCTACGGCAACGCGGCGCGCGTCCCCGCGGCCAGTGCTGGAGTCCGCGGGAGCGCGAAGAGGCAGCCGGAGGGCGGCGGGCCCGCGCCAGCGCAAGGCCGCGGCGCCAGCTCCGCGCTCTCCTGGCCGCTGTGCCTGCGCCTCCGATCCCCTTGGAGAGCTGCTCCGACCCCGCGTCCGTCTCCGGTCGGTGCGGGCTGGACTGTGAGCCAACGAGGGAAATTTCAGGCCAACCCACTAGAAACACGAAACTAAAGGCCAATGACGTCCAGTCTCTGCTTATGCGACATTTACTCTTAAAACATATGCTCAACTTGTCCGATTCTCCGTGTTGAATCTGAAAATGTGGGCTCTTGTCTTTGGAAGGAGCAGTGCTTACCGCCTCATCTTTAACTTTTCATTTATTAAGCAAATATTTATTCAGTTCCTATTTTGTAGGAAAAAATTGTGTTGGACCGTGGGAATAATTCAAAGATAATAAGACCTCCCCACCCCCCTTGGCCGCCTCTGTGCTGCTCTTCCAGGTAAACGCCTTTAGGACTATTCAACCTTTATTTCTCTCAAGAAACCTTCCACAACTCCCACACTTCCCTCTTCCAGACAGCCAACGTTCCCCTCCTCTGTTGATTTTGTACTGTCTCCTGTTGTCTAGACTTGGAGCTCTTGGAGGCAGAGGAAATGCAATTCTTTCAAAATTCTCACCTGAGGGTGTGTGTGGGGGGGGGGCGGGGGGGGGGTTAAATTGATTTTTAGAGAGAGTGAAAAACATCAATGTGAGAGAGCTCAGTTGCCTCCCATAAGTGCCCTGACCTGAGATCAAACCCATAACCTTTTGGTGTACTGGGTGATACTCCAAACAACTGAGCCACCAGGCCAGCTCATAAGAAATACAATTTTAATCTTATATTCCTCAGCACATTGTACTGATAAAAATTGGTTTTGGACAAATGTATGTCCTCAGTCCTGTGTCCCCTCTCTTATATAACTCCTCTTATTCTCTCGTATTACAATAAATACCTCTTTTCTCCCCTTCTACTCATTCTTCGAGTTACCTACTGAGTGCCTGGTGTATTCCCAGCCCTGAGCATGGAGTAGTAATGGAACATCAGAAGAGTCTTTGCTTTTATAGAGCTCACAGTCTCTTGGATGAATAGACACTTATGAAACAAATATATATATATATATATATATATATACACACACACACACACACACACATACATATACATACACACAATTGCAAATGAGGTATGTGCTACTGGATCAACTTTAGCTGTGTAACAGACCACTGCAAAACCTTGGGGCATACAATAATCCTTTAGCTAACTCAGGATTCTATGAGTGGGCTGGGTGGTTCTTCTACTTTGGGTCTACTCAGCTGGGCTCTTGCATATCTTTCTGGTTAGCTGGCAGGTCTGCTGGTGGGTGGATGAGCTAGGGTGGCCTTGCCGAGGTAACATGCTAGTGGCCACTTTTGGAACATAACACAAGTACTAAGAAAAAGTACATGACACCGAGAGAGCATGTACTTAATACAGAAGTTCAGTTTAAACTGTGTTGTCAGGGAAAGGACTTCATTGAGAAAGTGACATTTGAGCTGAGATCCAAAGATAAGGTAGATGTTAACTATTTGAAGAGAGAGAAAAAGAGTCCAAAGAGTGGACAGTGTAGGCAAATTGCCCTCCTCCCAACTCCATTCTTTTTTTTCCTTCTTTTTCTATTTATCATCAGGTAGAGAGAGAGAGACAGAGAGAAACATGGATGTGATAGAGCCACATACATCGACTGGTTGCCTCCTGCATGACCTGATCAGGGCAGGGGACGAATTGCAGCTGAGGTACATGCCCTTGACTGGAATCAAACCTGAGACTCATTGGTCCGTGTGACGACATTCTTAACTGCTGAGCCAAACTGGCCAGGGCCCAGCTCCATTCTTAGCTCTACCTAACTACTATTTCGGAGAAAATGGTACCACTCTCCTGCTGATTGTTCAAGTAGAAAACCTAGGAGTCATTTTTTCTTTTCCCTAGGCACACTGGTAATTCCTGTTAGTTGCTCCTCCAAAACATATATATCTGGAACTATTCCTTCCTCATTTCTTCTACATTACCATAATCCAAGTTAATATCATCATTCACCTTTATCACAAACCTTCTTACTGGTTTCTCCATGTCCACAGTTATACATTGCAATGCAAAATCAAACATAGAGATCAGATCATGCCAACCTTTCAAAGCCTCTGCTGACTGGTCTGAATGCTTGTGTGTCCCTCAAATTCATATGTTAGAATCCTAACCCTTAATATAATGGTATTAGGAGGTATTGGGAGGTACTTAAGTCATGAGAGTGGAGCTCTCATGAATGGAATTAATGCTCTTATAAAAAGAGACCCCAGAGAGCTCCCTACTTCCTTCTGCCATGTTACACTAAGAAGATGGCCACCAAGGCGGAAGAGGCTCTTACCAAACACTGAATTTGCCAGTGCCATGTTCCTGGACTTCACAGCCTTCTGAACTGTGATAAATACACTTCTGTTTTCTATAAGCCACCCAGTTTATGGTATTTTTATCATAGCAACTCAAATGAACTATATATGTATTATTTTTTTTAATCCTCACCTGAGGATATTTTTCTTTCTTTTCTTTTCCTTTTTTAGTCCTTACCTGAGGATATTTTTCTATTGATCATCAGATAGGGAGGGAAGAAGGGAGAGAGACAGAGAGAAACATTGATGTCATAGAGCCACATCCACTGGTTGCCTCCCACACAACCCGACCAGGGCCAGGAGTGAACCGCAACTGAGGTACGTGCCCTTGACTGGAATCGAACCCACAACTCATTGGTCTGTGAACTGATGTTCTACCACTGAGCCAAACTGACCAGGGCAGGATATTTTTCTATTTATTTTCAGATAGAGTGGGAAGGAGAGAAAGGGAGAGAGTGAGAAATGTAGACATGAGAGGAACACATTGACTGCCTCCTGTGTGACCCCAACCAGGGCTGGGGGCCAGTCGCAACTGAGGTACATGCCTTTGACCCGAATCAAACCTGTGAGTCATTGGTCTGCGGGCTGATGCTCTGCCACTGAGCCAAAACAGCCAGGGCTGAACTAAATATATTTAAAATAAAGTTTTAAATTCTTTCTCTGGCTATTAAGGCTCTATCTCATTCTTGCCTATCCATTTACCTTCTCTCACTACTATACTGTGATATAGCTACAATATCTTTCTGTTACTAGTTTATTTGAGGCTCAGTTTTGTGTTTATTTTCTCTGCCTAAAACACACCTTCCTCAGATCATCACATAACTAGCCCCTTCTTATCACATAGAATTCTGCTTAAAAGTCATCTACAGAGGGGGCCTTTCTTTGATCACCTACTTAGTACCACGCCACACTCTTCTCTTTCCTCTGAAGCACATACATGCTCTGAAATTCAACTATTTGTTTATATGCTATTTCTGTTTTCCATGACTGGAATATATTGTCCAGGAAACTAGGCACTTTGCTGTCTTGTTCACATTATATTTCCCATGCCACCACAGTCCTTGACTCAAAGTAGGAGCTCAATAATTAGTTGAGTTCATCAGTAAATAAATGAGCTAGTGAGTGAGAATCCAATGGCAGAGGGAGCATGGTGTGTGTGAGGGAATGGAAGAAAACCAATGAGGCTGAAGTCGAGGAGATGGGCATGATGATATATGATATAGTTGGAGGGGTAGGTGGGGGGGTCAGGTCATGTAGGGCATTTTGACCATGCTAAGGAGTTTGGTCACAGTTTTCCAGAGAAACAGGATCAATATAAAGAAAAATATATACAGAATGATTTTGATACAAAGAATTGGCTCATGTGAGCATGGAGACGAAGCCCCAATGCATGTAGTTAGCAAGCTGGAGACCCAGGAAAGCTGATGGTACAAATACCAGTCCAAAAGCTGGCAGGCTCAAGACCCCAGAAAAACTAATCTTTCTGGCTGAGTCTGAAGACGGGTCGGGGGAGAAAGAAAACAGTCAGGCAGGAGGAGTACCCTCTCTTCCTCAGCCTTTTTGTTTTGGTCAGGTCTTCAATGGACTTGATGAGACCTATTCACTGTAGGGAGGGCAATCTGTTTTACTCAGTCTACCAACTCAAACGTTAATGTCATCCAGAAACCCCCTCACAAACACATTTAGAATAATGTTTGGGCAAAAGTCTGGGCATCTTGTGGCCCAATTAAGTTGCCACAATTAAACATCATAGTCCTTACCTTAGTATCGATGTGAAGGTATTAATGTATTACAGCAAGTCATGTAACTCTTAAATCTTTTAGCAAATGCCTTATGAATAGGATAGTAATTGTTGAACAAATATATATTGAATTGCACTCTCAACCCAATACATGGAATGAATGTTTTCTAGAAACCCTTCTGAGATCTGGGCTCTTTGATCTTACAAGACATTTCAAAGCATGCATCAGCACAGCTGTTCTCAAGTCTTTTCACTGCTACACTCTTTCCTAGGACACATCATGTCAAAGAAGATGAGCAGGGAATTGGGAGTCCAAGTGCCTTGGCCAACATCACATGATGGGATAGTAGGGGTGCTGCAATTAAATCCTTTGTCTTTCCTCTCCAATGCTCTATCCACTGTGTCAGAATCAACCTTTCTTTTTCTCCCTCTTTCTCTCCCTTTCCCTCTCCCTTTTCTCTCCTATTTTGATTTTTTTGCAAAGTTCTTAAATCAATGTAAATGTAAATAAATTATTTTAAGTAGTCAATCAGTGCCATTCCTTATTTGGAATAAGGAAAATGTGTGTCCATGATGAGTCAGTCATTGGGTACAGCATTCCCGAATCTTTGGGAATTGTTTCAGGTTACAAAGAGTATAACCTGACTTTTCTTAAACTACAACATATTTGTATATTTATTGTAAAAATAGCACAGTCTTATTTTGCATCACATTAAATGCATTCCAATTTATTTAGGATGATTTAAGAGAGATCCAGTAGAGACAAATAGTTACATTGACTTCATTCACTCATTTATTCAGCACTAATCACTGAGAACTTGTTATATACCGGACGCTGGATTTACCATTCTTTAACCCAAGTGCTCCGAGAAAGGTGGAAGCAGATAGCTCTACAACACAACGGGATCATTTTTTCAAAAAAATTCAATCTTATTTGGAGGTAATGAGTAGTTTAAATTAAATTATTTTATTTTATTATTTTTTAAAATCCTCACCCGAGGATATTTTTCCATTTATCTTCATATAGTGGGGGGGGGGGGGGGGGAGAGACATCAGTGTGAGAGAGACACGTCGACTGTTGTCTCCTACATGACACCAACTAGGGCCAGGACCAAACCACAACCGAGGTACGTGCCCTTGACCAGAATCGAACCTGTGACTCTGGTTCCTGGGCTGATGCTCTAATCCCTGAGTCAAACTGGCCAGGGTTGTATTTCACATTTTATTTTTATAGTTCTGTTTATATGCATTTTTTAATTGATTTTTAGTGTTGATATGAGTATTTCTGAGTCTTCACAGATATTTTTAGTGAGCAGTTGGATTTTTACTTAGTCAATGTATTAAAAGTAATTGCAGCTATTATTTATTTTTGATGCTTCAATTATCCAAGAGTTGGCCAGTGGGAGCCCTTTCAGCTCACTGCTCAGTGTTTGACATGTTCCCATTTTTCTTAAACATGTCTGGGTTCTGGCACAAAGGCTCACCTGTACAGTCTCTTCTCAAGAATTAGAATTAGCCATTTATCCAAAGAACAGCTACAATCACTTTCAACAGAAAACTCCATATTCTCTTGAGATTGTTTTTGGAATAGCTAGCCTGCTGAGTAAAGAGTTGAGAGCACCTATTTTGACTGTTAGCTGTAATGGTCACTGAAACAATATGCTTTTTGTTTGTTTTAACAATAGAATATCACAATAAAAAAGCTGGGTTAAATCATATCTTGTTGTGCTCTTATACTTTCAAACTAAGGTAGAAAATTTGATAATAGCCCATTTTAGATAATACACTGTACTTGTACTAGAGACACTTTTTTTTTTTTTTTTTTTGTAATCCTCACCCAAGGATATTTTTTCATTGTTTTTTTTAGATAGGGTGGAAGGGAGGGAGGGGGAGGGAGAGAGAAATAGCTATGTGAGAGACTAGTTGCCTCCCACATGACCCTAACTGGTGCCCGGGATCAAACTTGCCACCCAGGTATATGACCTTGACTGGGAATCAAACCTGAGACCCTTTGGTCCATAGGTCAACCCTCTAACCGCCAGGGCTAGAGACACTTTTATGCAGTTTAACATACTCACAGACTGAGCGTAATGGGGAGAAAGAGTAACATTTCTTTATATCACCAGTTTTTGGAAATAATTTTCATTCTGATAGCAGAATCTAATAAATATAGTGCTTATATTTGTTATATAAAAGTATAAATGGAGTGAAAAGTTCAGTTATTTATCAGAATGTGTCCAGATCTATATTCTGAAGGTGAATGAAGCATTTAGATAATTTTCAGAAACAATTGCTTTTTATGTAGATGATGTTATATCATTATAGAAAAAGAAATGTATATTTTTATTATTAAAAAGTGTACCTCAAAATTCTATTTTCTTTATAAATTCTCACATATTTCTTGCTTTATTACTCTATGTTATAACATTATTGCAGGATAGCCTAAATGATGCAGACCCATTGTTAATCACTGCCTAGCTGATACCTTCTACTTCTCTGCAGCATCGATCTCATTGTAAGTACATACCTGATTGGGTAATAAGTGGTATGTATTTGTGTCTGTATGTTCTGCTAGTAGGTAGGTAGACTGTGTGTATACAGACAGCATGCTGCATTGTTTACCACTGCATGCCCTGGAACCAGGGCAGTGTCGTACATGAAACAGATGGCCAATACATTTTTGTTGAACAAGTCATATTTGCTAAAAATATTATTCATTTGCCTCTTAAGTTTATGCTTTCAAACAAACAGATAATTACATTTATGGTGTTCATTTAAAAGAATTACATATTGTGGTCCAAATTACCACTGTAATTTGATTTTATACATATATTATTTTTATTGAATTTATTGGGGAGACACTAATAAAATTATATAGGTTTTAGGTGTACAATTTTATAATATGTCATCTGTATATTGTATTGTGTGTTCACCACCCCAATCAAGTCTCCTTCCATCACCATTAATTCCCCCCATACCTACTTTTAGCTTCCCCACCACCCTTTCCCTTTGGTAATCACCATACTGTTGTCTGTGTTTATAGGTTTTTATTTTTTTACTTAATCCCTTCACCTTTTGCACTCAGCACCATAGCCCCCTTCAGCTCCGACAGCTGTCAATCTGTTCTCTACCCATGAGTCTGCTTTTATTTTGTTGGTTAGTTTATTTTGTTCATTAGAGTCCACATTTAATTGAAATCATATGGTACTTGTCTTTCTCTGACTGGCTTATTTCACTTAGCATAATGCTCTCTAGATTCATCCATGTTCTCGCAAAGAGTAAGATTTCCTTCTTTTTTGTGGCTGAGTAGTAGATGTTGTCTAAATGTGCTACAGCTATTTCATCCACTCATCCACTGATGGACACTTGGATTGCTTCCAAGTCTTGGCTATTGTAAATAACACTGCAGTGAACATTAAAAATTTCCACGCATATTTCCTAAAAATAGGAATACTTTTTACACAATCACAATGCAGTTATTAATTTATCAATTAATATTGATACAATACTTTAGTCTCGTTCATATTCCAATTTTGTCCATTGACCTAAAAAAGTCCTTGATAACATCTTTTTCCACTCCAGTACAAGATCCAGTCTAGGGTAAGGTATTGCATTTAATTGTCATGTCTTTTCAGCTTTCTTTAATATGGAACATTTCTATAGCCTTTCATTGTCTTTTATGACATTGACATTTTGTAAGAATGTAATTCCCCATGCTCCACTTTCATAGTAGAATGCTTATAATTTTGTGTTTAACTGGTATTTCCTCATAATACACTAAGGTTGCACATTCTTGACAAAAGTACTGCATAGTTGATGATGTGTCCTCAGGGAATCACATTCAGGGCACGTGTTGTTCATCTTTTAGTTATTGGTTATACTAATAATCATATGTCAAGTATTCAGTGTGCATATCTTATATGTTAAGTACTGGATTCAAAGATGAGTAAGATAATTTCTTTGTTAGGAGATTACAGTCTAGGAAGGAAGTAGAGATGTAAACAAAAGAAGGAGAAGAAGTGTGCTAAGTGCTGTAATAAAGGCATGAACAATGGAGTAAGGAAATCTACCTTTAGGAGCAACTCTGGCCAGAGAAGTTGGGGAAGTTTCCTACAGATAAGTCACTCAAGGGCAGGAGCTATGCCTATAAATGTTTTTCTCTTTTATAGCCTTTTGTCTTATAGTCATTAAATAAGTATTGAATAAATGAAGGAAAAAAATCTATGTACCTCAAAATAAAACTGTCGAAATACGGTACATAAATATACTTGATTTTATCTCTCTTTGAAGCTCATTGATTACAGAACTGAATGTTTTAGACACTCATGAAATACATTTACATACTGAGAAAAAAGCTCATAGTAAATTATGGGCAAAATGTGGTTTATACATTTATGATATAAGCTTTTTCTAACATAGTTGTATATCCAGTTAGCGACCTTAATTACAAAATTGAAATGTGTTCAGAATCATATATCTTTATGCAGAGAGAGATTTCAAGAGTACATTCATTTCAATATCTTCTTTACACAAGGCCAACTTTACAGATGAAGCCATAGGGCTCAGAGAAGTATACTGCCTCAACAAGGTCAAATGTATATGGTTATCAAAGAGTCTATAGCCCTGGTCCAATGACAAGGCTGTTCCTGGCTATTATTGGTGCTTAATCTGTATTTTCAGAATGAATGATATTCTTTCTTCCTAGTGCATTGTGTTTCCTACTATTCACAGGTAACTTTTAGGAATCCCTGTGATCGCAGTTTCTATTTGTGGTCTCCAAGAGTCACAGCTAAGCCTTCAAGTCATATCCTGAAGTTATAAATTCTGCTGGCATGAATTAATACCACTGTCTAATAGGTATATAACATGATCCATGTTTGTATTTTAAAATGTCATAGTAACTACATTAAAAAAGTAAAAAGAAAGAGTGAAGTTAAATTTCATCATGCACTTGATGAATATATCCAAAGTTTTATCATTTCAATATGTAAGCAATATAATCTAGAATGGCCCTTGGTAATCTGTCTTTATGCTTTGCACTGCTCAGTGCCGGCTGCCAAAGGACAAATGACCCAAAGAAGTGTTTCTTCTCCTACCAGACCTGATTTTTGACATGATCTCAGGGTTGTGAGTGCAGATCTTTATGTAGTTCTTTTACAGAACTGTAGAATTCTGGAGAGGGATTAGGCAGTATAGAAGTACTTTAATAAAAACATACACACAGCCACTTGCTTCTCAGGCTTATGTATCAACAGCTAATTGTAATGGTTTCAGAATTAGGTTATGAATAATGTCTTTATCTAAATTGATCTCTGTGTTCTTTTTTTATAGATTGATACATTGGAGTGTTGAGATAAAATTGCTTATTTCTAGATTTGAAGGAAGGAAGAGATGGTAGCTTTGATGAAAATGACATTCAGATTTTAAGTCCTTTATTTCATATTTTGATAGAGAACACTTTTTCTTGGCAGAAGCCTTTAATAAGATACTTCAAATTAGTGGGTAAAGAGGCTCTCTGCTCCTGTTTGTCGGAGAGCCATGTCTTTCTACGCAGTGCCAGCTGCAATGCTGAGACACGACGGTGAAGGTTGGAGTGAACGGATTTGGCCGTATTGGGCGCCTGGTCACCAGGGCTGCTTTTAACTCTGGCAAAGTGGATATTGTCGCCATCAAAGACCACTTCATTGACCTCAACTACATGGCCTGCATGTTCCAGTATGATTCTCCTCATGGCAAGTTCAAAGGCACAGTCAAAGCTGAGAATAGGAAGCTTGTCATCAATGGAAAGTCCATCTTCATCTTCCAGGAGTGAGATCTCACCAACATCCAAAGGGGTGATGCTGGTGCTGAGTATGCTGTGGAGTCCACTGGTGTCCTCACTAACACGGAGGAGGCTGAGGCTCACCTGAAGGGTGGAGCCAAGAGGGTCATCCTCTCTGCCCTTTCTGTGGATGCCCTATGTTTGTGATGGGTATGAATCATGATCAGTATAACTCCCTCAAGATTGTCAGCAATGCCTGCTGTACCACCAACTGCTTGCCCCCTCGGCCAAAGTCATGTATGATAACTTTGGCATCTAGGAGGGACTCGTGACCACATTCCATACCATGAATGCCACCCAGAAAACCATGGATGGCTTCTCTGGGGAGCTGTGGCGTGATGGCTGAGGGGCTGCCCAGAACATCATCCCTGCTGCTACTGGCAGTGCCAAGGCTGTGGTAAAGCCATCCGTGAGCTGAATGGGAAGGTCACTGGCATGGCCTTCCATGTCCCCACCTCTAATGTGTTTGATTTTGTGTATCAGACCTGCCACCTAGAAAAAGCTGCCAAATACAATGACATCAAGAAGGTAGTGAAGTAGGTGTCAGAGGGCCCCTCAAAGCCATCTTGGGCTATACTGAGGATCAGGTTGTCCCCTGCGACTTTAACACTGACACTAACTCCTCCACCTTCAATGCTGGGCCTGGCATTGCCCTGAATGCCACTTTGTCAAGCTTATTTCCTGATATGACAATGAATTTGGCTACAGCAACTGGGTAGTAGACCTTATGGTCAACATGGCCTCCAAAAAGTAAAAGCCCCCTGGACAACCACCCCAGCAAGAAGAAGAGAGACCCTCAGCTGCTGGAGAGTCCTTGCCCCAAATCGATCCCCCAACACACCGAGAATCTCCTGACCCCCACAGTTTCCATCCCAGGTCCCCTGAATAAGGGGAGGGGCTTTGGGAACCCTACCTTGTCATGCATTATCAATAAAGTTCACTGCACCCATCCCCCCAAAAGTTACTGGGTAAAGATAATGTACATAATAAACTGTCTTGGGACCACTGACCACACATCTGTAGAACTATAAAATAATATACCAATATAATGCCATGTGAAACCAGAACATTTCATCTCACATGTTGTTGGTGGAGTGCAAAATTGGAGGGCGATTTGGTGATCTCAATTTAAATTGCATGTTTCCACCTCTGGGAATTTATCCAACATATATATTTATACTGTGCACAAAGAAGTATGTAAAATGGAATTCATTGTAGTAAACATTTATAACACGAAAAAATTAGAGGACAACTAAAATGTCTATCAATATAGGATTGGTTAAATAAATTATGATATATCTGTACAGTGACTTTATCCCTTTAAAAATATATATCCCTTTAAAAATGAGATATCTCTAACGTCCTGATGTAAAATTCACTCTAAGAATTATGAGAGAGAGAGAGAGAGAGAGAGAGAGAGAGTAAAGACACAGAACAGTATATAGATCAGGGGGTCACAAACAATCAAATTTGCTGCATGTTTTTGTAAATAAAATTTTGTTGGAACATAGCCTTTCCCATTTGTATGCATATTGTCTATGGCAGCTTTTGTGCCACAATGACAGAGTAGAGAAGTTGCTACAGAGAGCATTTGGACTAGAAAGCAGAACATATTCACTGTCTGCTCTTTAGAAAAAAAACAAACTTGCTGAGC